CGCCACCTACAACACGCCCAACAATACCAACAACGGAAGCTGAACTACCAGTGAACATTGACCCCCCCCCAACCGACGAAATCAGAAGTCCTGAATGCAATCAAGATGCTAAAAGCTGGGAAAGTGCCCGGACCAGATGGAATCCCAGCAGAAGCTTTGAAAATAGACCCAGAGACAACAGCGGACTTGATGTCGCCACTGCTGGAGAAGGTGTGGAAAGAGGGCAAAGTACCCGAGGATTGGAAGAACGGATACTTATTCAAACTTCCAAAGAAAGGAGACTTAAGTCAATGTAAAAACTGGCGTGGAATTATGCTTCTGTCCATTCCAAGCAAGATACTAGGTCGCATCATCCTGGAGAGAATCAAACGAGCCCTCGATGAAAAACTTCGTCCGGAACAGGCTGGATTCAGGAGAAACAAATCATGTATTGATCAAATCGCCACTCTACGGATCATCACTGAACAAAGCATGGAATGGCAGTCACCTCTCCACCTCACTCAACTTCATCGACTTTGAAAAGGCCTTCGACAGCGTCAATCGGGAGGTAATTTGGCAACTACTTCGCTACCACCGAGGGATCTCATCGACAATTATACATCTCATTTAACAGTTATGCGACAATGCTGCATTGCAAGTAATCCACAACAGGAAATTTACGGAAGCCTTTGAAGTGAGGACGGGAGTGAGGCAAGACTGTCTACTATCGCCAATGATCTTCCTGATTGCAGTAGATTGGGTAATGCGACAGACAATGGGTAATGAGGAAACGGGCATAAAATGGACTCACAAAAAACTTGGAGGATCTTGACTTCGCCGATGATATATATCTGATTTCCCACAAACTGGAAGATATGCAAGTGAAAAGCAACAAGTTGGGGGAAGAAGCATCAAAGATAGGACTTTAGGTGGACATAGAGAAAACAGAGGTTATGAAGATTCCTGGCCAACAGCAACAACAGACAACATTCAGCCAGCATAGATGGGAGGAACCTGAAAGAAACAACTTCCTTCACCTACCTAGGAAGCATTGTCTCAACTACAGGCGAATGGAACTGACAAGGATATCAAAGCGGCGAGGATCGAGAAAGCAAGACAAGCTTTCATTACTCTCAAATCTGTGTGGAGGTTAACAGCACTCAGCATCGAAAATAATATCCGGATTTTCAACTCCAATGTGAAGCCAATCAGTGCTACTATACGGTTCAGAGACTTGGCTCATCATAAAGAGCATCTCAAACAAACTTCAGACCTTCATCAACAGCTGTCTTCGCTCAATACTCAAGATCAGATGGCCGACCAGAAAAGATCAGCAACAGGGTGGGATCTCTGGGAGCGAACCAATTAGGACCCGATTGTGCAAGAAATAAGCAGGAAGAAATGGAGGTGGACTGGCCATACTCTGAGGAAACCATCACGTGATACCAAAAGCTAGGCTCTCAAGTGGAACCCGAAAGGGAAGCGGCCAGTTGGTCGTCAAAGAGTGACTTGGAGGAGGTCAGGTGAAGAGGAGATGATAGCATGTGGGCAGACTTGGAGCCAGGTGAAAACTTTAGCAGAGAACCGAACGCAATGGAGACGCGCAGCTGAAGCCCTATGTTCCTCTAGGAACTAAACGATACGATAAAAATGTAATAATCTGTGTTATAACAAAGCCAATTACACCAAAATGCGAAGACTTCTGTCTGAAGCAAACTGGCCTAAAAAATGGACAGAGCCAACAGTAGAAGAACAGTGGAGAGTGGTAAAGGAGATCATTCACCAGGCGGTCTCAGACACTGTTCCTTTAGTCACACCAAAACCAGGAAGCAACGTTAATGGCACACAACGCCTTCTGCAGGCGAAGCGAAAAGCCTGGTTTGCGTGGCGACGATCGAAGAGTCAACCCGAACATGAAGTGTACCTTGAACTCAGGAATCGATGTAACATACAAGTCCGGAGCGATAGAAGGACATTTCAGGGAAACCTCGCCAATAAGCTTCTCGTGAACCCCAAAAGCCTATACAGGTTTATGTCTGAAAGAAAACCGACCAACCAGGGAGCATGCAATCTAGTGGGTTCTGAGGGGAAATATCTTAGTAGTCTTGAAATGGCAGAGACATTCAGCCTAGCCTTTCACAAGCAACTAAACAGTAACGAGGATATTACCCCCAAGGAACATCAAGATTACATCGCTAAACCAACGCGCGAAAACCTGCTGGGTACATTTCAAATTACCCCGGCTATGGTACTTATAAAATTGGGAAAGTTGGCTTCGGGAAAGTCTTCAGGTTGCGATGACATCAGACCATCCGTCCTGAAGCAGTGTTCAGAAAGTCTCTGCCAACCCCTAAGTGATCTGTTCCAACACTCCCTTGATGTAGGGAAGCTTCCATATGAATGGAAACGAGCAATCCTATCCCCCATCTTCAAGGGTGGTGACCGGCAGAATGCGACCAGTTACAGACCAGTTGCTCTACTTCCAGTGATATCGAAAATATTGGAAAGTCTCATTGACGACCACATGAGAAAATACTTCGATTGGACTAACCTTCTTCACGAAGCACGGCACGGTTTCAGGAGGGGAAGATCCTGCGTGACGAATCTTCTACTAGCTTGGAACGATTGGACACTATCCTGGGACAAAAAGGTACCAGCCCACGTGATCTCTCTCGACTTTGCGAAAGCATTCGACACAGTTCACCATGGTCTGCTCCTTCACAAAATAAGCAAGGCGGGTGTTTCTGGAGCACTTCTCGCATGGCTGAAAGATTACTTAGGTGAGAGAGAATTCTGCACCAAAGTCAACCGCATCCGATCATCCTGGCACACCTCGGCATCAGGGGTTACTCAGGGTTTTATCCTAGGGCCGTTGATGTTTTTGATTTTTACCAACGACCTGCCCTCCCAACTGAACTGCTCTGCGCTTCTTTACGCTGACGACGTAAAGATTTGGAGAGCAATAAACTCATCGGAAGACTCAGATAGGTTGCAGGCTGACCTGCAAACTCTGGGAAACTGGGCTCTGGCCAACGGAATGCCTTTCAACCTAAAGAAGTGCAAAGTAGTGCAACTTCATTCCGGCAGGTCACAGAGTGTAAATTACACCATTGGTGGCCAGAACTTGAGTTGTGTTTCATCAGAGCGCGATCTGGGTCTTATTCTAACGGAGAAGCTGGACACCAGTCCAAATTACGCGAGGGACGTCGCCAACGCCTACGCAACTTTACACTTTATGCATAGGCAGCTGGGAGCTCTTACTCCCGAACTGTTCTTAAGGTTATATAAGACATATGTGAGGCCACACCATGAGGTGCATAATATCATTGCACCTCCGCTACTCAAAAGGGATGCTAACATTCTAGAAAGTGTCCAGAGACGAGCGACTAAATGGGTGATCGGCCTCCGCAACAAATCATATGAGTAACGACTAAAGAAATCAAGTCTTTTCACACTTAGTTACCGTAGGCACAGGGGAGACCTCATCACCGTCTACCAGATCTTAAATGACCAGGCCCACCCAAATAAAAGCATCCTGCCATTAAGTGATTATAGGCTTCCACGAGGTAACCTGCTAAGGATAGCACACCAGAGACCAAAGACTCGAGTGCGATCACGTTTCTTTCGCTTCGTGTTTGCCGTCTCTGGAACGTTTTACCGGCGGCCGTGACTACAACGCCATCTCTGGGGATTTTTAAGCGGAAGCTAGACAATCATGCAGAAATGCAAGGTTTGTGTCTCAATGGCTTATCCTCATAAAACTTAAAACCACACTGTCAATGGATAAGCGTACAAACTAAATCCCCACGACCTGTTCTCCCTTCTCTCACTGTATCGACTACTCTATCTTTTCCTTAGGTCACCTTTATTATTCCACTTATCTCAACCCATATTATCTACACTACAACATACTATTATTATTATTACTATTTTGCTTTTATGACTACACCGAATGACCAACGGGAGTTGGGTCAAACTCCATTCACGGCAGTAATACAGTCCTAACATACTGCATACTACAAACCACATCTTGACCAATCCCCGCACCACTCCTCTTGGAGCCTACCAGAGCTAAAGCAGTCGAGTGGCGGGACTTACTACGGAGAAGCTCACCGAAGATCTGGAACCTGGCGAAGTACAAGAATAGCGTCCCAGGGGTGCGAACGCTTCAGTGACCTTGAACGCATGCTAGTCGTTGGCTAACGGCACCTATTATTATCATAGCTGAAATATCAACGCTGTTCATCAAATAAGGAGCAAGTTTCACCCAGATAACGCTTTTAACTACTGTTTGGATAATGTGTTAACATCTCGTTAGGGTCAGGATTAGGATTAAGGCGAGTATTGGAGTAAGGGTTATAACCCTATAGGGTTGCGGTCATAATTGGGATTGAGATTAGGTTTACGGCAGGATAAGGATTGTCACTGAGGTTAGGATTAAGGTTAAGGCTAGTGTGAAATTAAGGATTAGGGTCAGGATTAAGGCTAGGGTGGCGATTAGGAATAGATTTGTCGTTTATTTCAACTTGTTTTATTACCCTCATTTTCCTTAAGGAAATTGTATGTAGTCATCAATGCTCCTGCTGAAACCATAGTAATTTAACCGAGGGCTTGGAAAAGGACTGCAAAGCAAGAGAAGAGAGATGAACGATTCATAAAACAGCCACTTTGGTTAATACATCTACAGAAACTAGTCCAACTTAGCAACTGATAATCTTCATCTTAACTGGGACGTATTTGTAAGTCATGTCAGAGAAAGATAATCTGTTTAATGTGTTTTCATGCATTTTCTTGTGAATATACGTCATTTTTGTGCAAAAATTCCTCGTATTTTATGATTGGCAGGATGAAGGTCACTCGTGCGTTCGCATCCCTTGGGACGCTATTGTTGAACTTTGCTTGGAACGTCTGCCTCACAGTCAAGAAGCGAGCTCAAAGAAATCACTGGTTTATACTAGCTCGTAGTCAGGATATTGAATAACCAGAGCGGCCAATACAACTTGTGCGGTACGTTGCTACTGGGCATTAGCAATGAACCCAACTACGTGGGAATTCCTTTGTTTTAATGTATTTTTGTTGCCTTACATTTATATTCATGAATAGTTGATAACTAGACTTTCGACTGACACGTATGATTTTATTTTCTATGATAACCGTACGGTTGTTTAAATACGTATTTAAACTTCTGCGCTGTTCATTATAATTATTACTTTGCATCCATTATATCTCACTGAATTTAAACGTTAAGATGACGAATGTGCGCGGTAGTATCAGTGCAGAGTTAATGACGTTTAGCACCACCCTCCAAGGACCTGGAAGCCAGGTATTTCGGTATCTCTTGGCATAAATTTATGGGATGTGTAACTGTTCATGTTTTTCATCATATTTGATTTCACAGTTAAATGCTGCAGTAATTGGGGTCTTCTATTATTCATCTATAAAGAGTACTCAAAGTCATCACTCACATCTGGAAATTAGTTCAGTACTCTGTCCTGAACCAAGTGGGGTGAGAAATATATGATAGACTTCTACTTATCATGGAAGACAAGAATTGCATTCAGTGAGCGAATAGTAACCGTAAAAACAGTTTCTGGCTCATTTGGATATACTAGGTTTTTCTCGATTCCTGATGTGTAATTTCGTCAGTCATGCAATACAGTAGTGCCTGCAAACAGTCCCGCCGGTACTGCCTTGGTTCTTTGGCAGAGATTTCTTTTAGGCTGATAAGTTAAGTAATATACTGAATTCGGTATGCGGAATGTCCGTCCGTTGAAATGGCTTGGTGATGCGCTGCACATATGGAGCCACTACTCTCCAGATGTTTGATATCAGGTGAAAGCTGCTACCTTGACGTGGTGGTCGGGCTTGAACACCGCAATGACCTAATCAAGCTATACTGGCTGAGACTTATGTCTCTTGAGGTTCTACCATGCCAGGCAGGTTGTTTGGATAGCGGTTAAACAAAAAGCAGCTACCCAATCCAACATCATGTCCAATACAAAATTACAAAATTTCATGCCGGATCGGCCGTGGCCCGGATTAACAACGACCGCGCTTCCTGCTGCCGTGTCACAGGGCGGGAGTGATAAATCTGCTACTGAGACACACCAAACAAAAAGAACAAACAAAAACAGGCCGCGTGTGACCGGCCTCAAGCAGTTGTCCCCTGGGCTCTGCGGTCACGCAACCAACTTCCACGGTGTGGGCAGCCGGGAAGTAACAATCGCCCTCACAATCCGAAATGCACACGAAACCTCTCTATTACTCACTCATCTTTGTCTTCATCTTCATCTCTATCATCTTGCCTTCCTTCCACTGATGCAACTCCTCGACTTGATAGCTCTCCACTTCCTCTCCACTCTGCGTCCACTAAAAACGATGGAAGCCAAAAAACCACCACCGACAGCCTCTTAAAGCCGCGCCACCAATTTCATATAGGAGCTCTTAATGTTAGGACACTTTGCCAAATAGGACAACAAGCATCACTAGCCAAGACCCTGGCATCACGAGCCATTGATGTATGCTGTGTTTCAGAAACACGCATACAAGACCCAAGTGTGGTTATTCACCTAACCCCACCTGGCCAACAGGTTGAATCTGCAAAATTCACCTTGAGGGTGTCAGGAGATGCCACAGCTAGTTCACGAGGATTAGCTGGCGTAGGGATAGCTTTGAGTACTAGGGCAGAAAAGACATTGCTTGACTGGATCCCGGTAGATAGCCGAATGTGTGCTGTCCGCCTGAACGGATCAGTAAGAAGGAGGAAGGACTGCACTACTCGCCGATGCCTTTTCGTAATCTCCGCCTACGCCCCCACTGACTGCAGTTCAGATGAAACGAAGGATGAGTTCTACCAAAAGCTGTCTAGTTTGGTGGAAAGGCTAAACGCTCAGACATAGTCGTTCTAGCTGGTGACTTTAACGCTCAAGTAGGGAAATTGTGTCAATCTGAGAAGGATGTCGGTGGCACCTATGGAGTTCCGTGCCAGCGAACCGACAACGGTGACCGTCTCCTACAGTTCTGCTCTGATAATCATTTGTTTCTTGTAAGCACTAACTTCAAACACAAGGAGAGACACTGTTTGACTTGGAGACCCCCTTCATCAAACCAACGCTGGACACAAATAGACCACATAGCAATAAGCTATCGTTGGCGTGGGTCGGTAGGAGATTGTCGCTCCTTCTGGAACACGTGCGTAGATACCGACCATGCACTGGTCCGCGCTCGGGTGTGCTTACGACTGAACGGACGTAGGAAACAGCTGGCGGTAAAACCATCACGTCCCCAGCTCGATCAGGAAACTAAATCCGTATTTCAGGAAGAACTAGCTAAACACATATCTGTGTTCGACAGCTGTGCTCACCCTGAAGAAGCTTGGAAAAATATCCAGGCAGCCATAGATACAGCTGTAAAAGCTGTGAATAAGGTAAACCCAAAGGTGAGTAAAAACCACTGGATCTCCACCGCCTCATCCGAACTGATAGATGCTAGAAGACTTATTCCGGCGAGCTCCGAATTCAATGAGGAGCGAAAGCTGCACAAGAGGAAACTTACGAAAAGTCTCCGCAAGGACCGTGAACAGTGGTGGGCGACAAAAGCCAAAGAGATGGAGAAAGCTTCGAGGATAGGCAACACCAGGCAACTCTTTGGACTCATCAGGGAAACGGGTGGGAGAAGACAAATCATTAGTGAGACAATCTCGGAAAAAAATGGCACTATAATTAGCTCACAGGATAGACGACTGGATCGTTGGAAAGAGCATTATGAGGAGCAGTTTAATTTGCCCACAGCCACGCTCAACCTTCCGAGCATCCAACACCTCCCTGAATGGGATATAGATACAGGTCCTCCGTCACTAACTGAGGTTACTAAAGCTGTCACCAATCTGAAACTAGGCAAAGCAGCGGGACCTGATGGAATGACTCCAGAGGTATTTAAGTACGGTGGAGACAGCTTACTGTCCGGATTAACTGAGGTACTAGGCAGCGTCTGGGAATCAGAAGAAGTCCCATCGGGTTGGTGTAAGTCACTGATTATCCCCATATACAAGAAGGGAGACAAGTCTTCCTGTGATAATCACAGAGGGATTAGCTTGACTAATATAGTATCTAAAGTCTTAGGCTCAATAATCATGCGTAGACTGAGTGGTGCTCGGGAAGCACAAACACGAGAGAGCCAGGCAGGCTTTAGACCAGGAAGAGGGTGTATTGATCATATCTTCACCCTCCGACAGATTCTAGAACATAGGCATTCCTACCGGCGTCCAACAGTCATTATATTTCTTGACCTAAAGGCAGCATTCGACTCTGTCGATCGGGAAGTTCTCTGGAGATGCTTGGCTGTAAAGGGAATTCCAAGAAAATATATTGCACTGATTAAGGCACTCTAATCGTACTCATACAGCCAGGTGAGGGCTTACGGCGAGCTGTCATCTGAACTGATGACGACCAGTGGTGTCCGTCAAGGATGCCCATTATCTCCTTTTCTATTCAACTTCATCATAGATGTGTTAATGGACTTAACCCTAGGTGACTTCAGCGACTCAGGGATTGACTTGCTACCTGGGAATAATCTCGTTGACTTGGAATATGCAGACGATATAGTCCTTCTAGGCGAAGACGCTGACGAAATGCAGAGTCTTCTAAACACCTTGAGCCGCAATCTACGAATGTTTGGCATGCGATTCGCTCCCGCCAAATGCAAGATGATGTTACAGGACTGGACTACATCGACGCCTAGTTTAAAAATAGGAAGTGAAGTGGTAGAGCACGTTGACCGCTTCACTTATTTGGGAAGTACCATCAGCCCCAACGGGCTGATCTCTGACGAAATCTCAGCACGAATACAAGGGGCTCGTTTCGCATTTGTTAGTTTACGCCGACTCTGGCGTAGACGAGATGTTCGACTATCGACCAAAGGGCGGGTGTACTGCTCATCAGTCCGCTCCGTCCTCCTTTATGGTTGTGAGACCTGGCCACTGAGAGTGGAAGACATGAAAAGACTAGCTGTCTTTGATCATAGGTGCCTGCGTTCTATTTCCCGTGTAAAGTGGCATAATAAGGTGAGCAACATGGAGGTTAGGCGTAGAGTTCTAGGTAAACAGGGGAAATCAATCGACGAAGTCGTGAAGCTACAAAGACTGAGATGGTTAGGACATGTGTTACGTATGCCAAGCCATCGCCTCCCTCGACGAGCAATGTTAGCGGATATAGGGTCAGGCTGGAAAAAAGCTAGCGGCGGTCAAACAAAAACTTGGCATCAGTCAATGAAATCCACAACAGTTGGTCTAAGCCACGTAGGAAGGTGTAGACTTCCAGGCTGGGGTCCTCGGGACGGTAAAAATCTATGGTTGGAAACAATTGGTGACATGGCTCAAAATCGTTCTCAGTGGCGCAGATGCATCCACTCCCTGTGACTTATGATCTTCAATGAAACTGTTTTGTATTTCTTTATTACTCCTTTGTCTCACACCTCTGCTCACTGTTTCTATTATGCTTTTCTTGTACTTTCTTCTCTTGCTTCGCGTGCTACACGGAATGTGGCGACTTGAACTTCCGCACATTTGTGCAAAGTTCTATGTCGAAAACAGACAGATATCAGGTGAAGTAGAATTAGTTCTTTCTATTGTCTAATTTTAATTGGGTTTTTATTAAATGTGAAAACTTAAACTGCTCAACATTCGCAAGTCCTCTTTTGTTACTTCGGTCAGTGATGTATTTTGAGTCGTTTTTTATAGGGTCTTTTAATATCACCTTATACTATTGTAAAGGTACTCGAGTAAGTTAGCCGAGAAGTTCGGATTTTAGGCTGAAAACCCTGAGGCTCTTTTCAGCTTACTTGACACACCTTTATTCAATGAACTGAAAGATCTCCGAAGCACCACTAATTTGTATATCTCTGAATTCATGTCAAAGGGTATGCACGTACAGCACTGTGGTACATGGAATTCCATTTAGGTAGCTCATAAGTTTATTGATTTTATATCTTGTCAGTGTTTTTTTCTCATTATTACCACTGCTACTATTCGTGATTGAGGTACTCATAAAAATGCTGCAAGCCAAGGTCAAAGCAGCAACTTTTCTTTACTGAGTGTTAACTCGTTTCTTGTCTCTTACTTTTTTAGTGTCTTTGGTGACTTTAAAGCATTTCTTCAGAACTAGCGGGACAGGCTCTGTTTGCAATCTGTTGTTTCCTTGACACCGAAATGTCATTGGGAAGGGTGAAACTTATTGTTCAATGCTGTAATACTATATCTCGTGGAGTCAATGTAAATTCACTCCGAAGAAGTCATTTTTACAGTGTGAAACCGAGGTATTTGTTCTGAATTTTATATGGAGATTATATATATATAACTGGCTTTAATATGATAAGGCTTACAAATTTTCAAGGTAGCATCGTGGTTTGTTTTCAGCCGCACTGTGTTTAGGGTATCTGTAAACGTAGTCGGTTCTGTTGTACTACTTAAATCGACCAAAATATTTCACTTTTCCTGAAGTTTCAGGTTAAATTGAGATATTCTGCTAACTAGGATGTTTCATCCGGAAGTAATTAAATTCTTTAAACACCAGCTTACTGGATCACTGAAGCGTAAGAAGTATGTCTATGTAATTTGTTGTATGTTTATTTCGCAGCAGTTAGGTGCATAATGTCGATTCACAGCCCCATCCATTGGACTCAGAGTACAGCTAGGAGATCATAAGTACATTTGTGCTTCAAAAATTAATTACCAGTAATACTTAGAGACTAGCAATACTTTCTGGCTGCTGAAAAATTATTACATCATGTTTTCTCACTGGTTTGAAATCAGTTCGCCTAACCAATTAGCTATATACATATATATTTTTGCAGGAGGTGAACCACTATGTTACTTTGAAAACAATTTCTATTATGATGTCAGTCTCACATGCATTACTATTAGACATATTTATCTTATTAACCATTTGTACCTATGTATGCATGCATCGTTTTCAGATTCAATTACCGTGATAACATTGAAAGAGATATAAAAGAAGAAGAGAAAGCTCAACATGTGATGACTGGACTTTGGGCATGGCTTACGTATTACTACATTAATCATTTCTCGGATTTCCTTGTAAGTCTACTATACTACACTAACTTCTTTTTGTAGAATCTTTCACCTTCAATAGACCCTACGAAGTTTAGCGACGCTGAACTAGGAGTTGCATAGGATCAGAGTCACATAATACTGATGTTTAACTTTAAAGTGTAGTATTTCTTTGGTAATATAATTAAAAGTCATATTACAAATGCTCTTTTTTAATACATAGTCAAGTCACACGCTTGTGTCTGTTAGATATCACAACTTTTTTGAGATAAAAAATGCCTTGTGGTAAGAAACCACGTATCGAACTTTTGATACCTTTCGTGTAGACTAAACTAGCTAAGACAGCGTCAGTTTTCCAAGCTTATGTTGAGTTGAAAGCCTACTTGTATCAGGGTTAGGGTCTGCGGTTTTCAGCCTAGAGGTCAGGCTACAAAAACCCAGACGCTGATGGGGGCCTAGTCTCATTTTAGTCACTGAAGATGAAGGTAAAATTTGGGTAGCAGCTGGGTCTCGGAGAACACTGATTAGTTCATTTCCAGTAGTCCCAAAACGACCGGTACAAACCAATCAAAGCTTTTGCTTCAACGTTTTGTTTTGTTTCGACGAGTATTCCGCATTTTGCTAATTCCGTTGTGAATTTAATTGAAAGGCGGCAACTATTAAATTTTTTAAAGGTGCAATTTATATCGGAATCATCACGGGGACACCTTTATATTAACATGGTGGGAGTCTGAAATGATGTCTAGAGAAAACCTTTATGAAATAACTAACTAACATGCTTTTATAGTTGTAAACCTGTGAATCGTAGAAGTGTTCTCGTTATTTCACTTGCTCACCGGCATTGACTACTTAGAAGAAGAGCTCTTCTCAAAAATACCATGGTTCAGAATGAATACTCGGAGCATTTTGTGGAGAAAGACAACAAACCTAAACAAAAAAGAAAAACGTAGTTCACTGGCACAGGAAATGCTGTATATGAACTTGTTCTTCAGAAGAGACTTAATGGTAGATATCCTAAAGTGGAGAATCTCTAGTTCCATAAAGAAGACCGATCCTGCACCAACACTGAGAGTGATATTGTTTAACCGTCCATTGCTTTCAAGCAATGTAAAGGACAAGCTCTGGTATGTAAACACTTCAATATACATATGTTGATTCGCCTGCGAAACCTGTTAGACAACAGTACCCAAAATGGCTGCAAAGAGGCGGCACTGATTCGATCGGAAGCACTATAATTGGATACGTCGTCAACACCTATCACAACATCTCAGCTGACTAATCATTCAGAGTTATTTACAAAGTGAACAAAAATCTACGGAAGGCAATGTGTCTTCGACTCACTTGTGCTGCAGAAGCACTAGCTGTATGCATCGCAATGCCACAGCTGTGTTCAAAAGAAACCAATCCAACCTCTACTTTTACCACAGATCTGTTTGACTCCTTGGTTTTCGTTTGTTCATTCCCTTCATTTTCAGTTATAAAATCTATTATTTCAATTTGTTTCCATGCGCATCCTGTTGACATCTGTCTTTTTTAAAAACTACTTAACATATTACGCAACTATTTTCTAATCGCGTGTAATTTTGTTTTCATGCCTCTCATAATCTATATCCACACACACATTCAAACTTTCATATTAAGTTTAAAATTATTATCACTTTTAATCTCCCTTCGTTATTATGGTGTTAAAGTAAACAATAATTGTAATTATGTAAACTTGTGTATATAATTGGGGTTGTACAGCTTTTGAGGATGAAATCGCCTAAAAGATATATTTACTAAGCTTCTATTTTTAATATCCCGATACATATTTTCCAGTATTTTTTAAGATATATCTGGCTACTACATAAGGACACAATATTTTAAGAATAAAAAAATGTTGTAACTGTGTTCAACTGAATAAACTCGTCGCCAATTTGTTTTATCTGCGCTCCTGCCAATTGTTGTAACGGTAATGAACTTGATTGATACGCTAATATGCCCATTTGTCCGTTGTACCTTCCGATTCACTGAGCCACGCAGATATCAAAAGACTAGGACTGGCCTGTGACTGTGAGATATTGTATTGTACAGTTTTGGGAAACAACACATTATATTTATACATTTTCTTTACCATAATAAAGTCGGCTCAGCTGTGGGAATGGATTGTTGGAAGTATCTGTCCTGATTGGTTGACGAACCGACAAAGACTGAGGTGAGACGAAAAATGATGAATTAATCACAAACTAAATCGTAATATGCGTGAGAATTGATAGATCCACATAGTAACTCCATCACAAGATAAAGCACACGATTCGTGAGAAAGGATGATATACTATTTTTCACTGGTTCCTATCAATATATATCTGATTACTAATTTTGGGAAAGAGATTGAGGTGTTTACGGGTTGCGTTATATTTTTAGACGGGTTCACAGTGAGTAACGAACAGAAATTATCATCTGATGAGTGAAAGAATCAAAGAAACTTCGTTCTACACATTTCATTTTCTTCATGGTAGACTTAACGGGTATTCGTATTACTGCAGAACCCTAATGGTCTAAGCTACCTGACTGCAAATATCGAAGTTCATCAATCAATTGTAGAGGTTCCGGAATGGGATAAAGTACTTTTATAGCGCAGGGATATCATGCCTGTTTCTTGTTTTTCTGAGGATGTTTTGGCAGAAATACTATCACTTTCTACTTACTTAATATTACAGTGATAAAGTCAAATTGATACATACACTAATGATAAATGTATCTGTAACTGTACAGTTTTTCGTATTCAGCACCACTACAATCTATTTTACTGAAAATTAGTCTTCTGATACCAGGTCCACTGTTTCTTCTTAGGGATGCGTTTCTTTTAAGCTCTAAAAATTCATATACTCTAAAGAAAGAGATTATAGCAGCTAAGCAACAATGCCATGCATTTATTCCTCTTGATGAATTTGAATAAAGCAAGAACAATAGTTTTTGCAGGGTAATGTGGTATCACCATTTATTTCGTTGGCTTCTCATCGTCTGCTTACAGCCTAAATAAATTATGAGGTTTATGTACAGAAAAGTTTTAACATGCTTGAAAATTTTTCATGATATCAGTTGACAAGAGGTTCCACAATTAGTAAACAGTGCTCAGAACATTGCGCTTATATGGTTTTTAGACACGCAATTCAAGTTTAAACAAAATAAAAGTATGCATACAACAGTAAAGGAGTTACGTAATAAGGACGACAGATGCGTAAGATGCTAAGTGACTAATAAATTAGGTAACAATGTACTGAGTTCAACTCAAATCATAGAGACAAGCAAAATTAAAGATTATGAAAGCGGGTGAGGTTAAAGCCAGCGATTACATAATCAAATGAGGGAATAAAGACACCCATACTACCTAAGAAGCATATTGATAGTTGCATGTCGAAACAACGAAAGTGTTTAGTGAGCTTAAATCTGCATTGATGTTCAACTACAACGTGGAATCAGTAATAATTTTCCCTTTTAATACAAGAAAACTGTCGTCCACAGAACTCGCCTATTGAAAATGCAGAGATCTTTGCAAACAGTGAAATTTGTCGCTTTGGATTGCGCGTAATTAAGTGTGACATTTGATTAATGCACATCATGATCCTATACATTTCATTTGTTGCTTATGAATGGTTCAAAGATGATCATCCAAGACATGTGAATAGTCATTATTATAATATTATTATTGTTTTCTTTAATTTCTAGAGTAACATAGGGCTTCAGCTGCGCGTCTCCATTGCGTTCGGTTCTCTGCTAAAGTTTTCACCTGGCTCCAAGTCTGCCCACATGCTATCATCTCCTCTTCACCTGACCTCCTCCAAGTCACTCTTTGACGACCAACTGGCCGCTTCCCTTTCGGGTTCCACTTGAGAGCCTAGCTTTTGGTATCACGTGATGGTTTCCTCAGAGTATGGCCAGTCCACCTCCATTTCTTCCTGCTTATTTCTTGCACAATCGGGTCCTAATTGGTTCGCTCCCAGAGATCCCACCCTGTTGCTGATCTTTTCTGGTCGGCCATCTGATCTTGAGTATTGAGCGAAGACAGCTGTTGATGAAGGTCTGAAGTTTGTTTGAGATGCTCTTTATGATGAGCCAAGTCTCTGAACCGTATAGTAGCACTGATTGGCTTCACATTGGAGTTGAAAATCCGGATATTATTTTCGATGCTGAGTGCTGTTAACCTCCACACAGATTTGAGAGTAATGAAAGCTTGTCTTGCTTTCTCGATCCTCGCCGCTTTGATATCCTTGTCAGTTCCATTCGCCTGTAGTTGAGACAATGCTTCCTAGGTAGGTGAAGGAAGTTGTTTCTTTCAGGTTCCTCCCATCTATGCTGGCTGAATGTTGTCTGTTGTTGCTGTTGGCCAGGAATCTTCATAACCTCTGTTTTCTCTATGTCCACCTAAAGTCCTATCTTTGATGCTTCTTCCCCCAACTTGTTGCTTTTCACTTGCATATCTTCCAGTTTGTGGGAAATCAGATATATATCATCGGCGAAGTCAAGATCCTCCAAGTTTTTTGTGAGTCCATTTTATGCGTCAAAACCTAAGGGTGTATGACAAAGGACTGAATCATCCGAGTTGTGTGTATGTGTGTGATCACCTTAGTACGAATTTGTAGACGAAGTATCAATCTGAAAACTATTGTACCGCTACGTACTTTATCGAGTAGGTAAAATGAAATATGTCTGTCTGTCTGGATTCAACATAGAACTTGGCACCGAAGTGCACCAGTTCGAGTTGCCACGTTCCAAATACCACACAAACGTAGACAAGAAGATGAGTGAAGAGAATCAATACAGTTTGACAAGTATAAGAGTGAAACAGAATGGGTAATGGTAGAAAGGAATATGAAAGATTACAGAGACTGAATACATCTGCACTGGCCATTGACAACGATTTTGAGCCATGTCACCTATTGTCTCCAGCCATTGATTCCTAGAGTCCCGAGGGCCCCAACCCGGGAGTCTGCATCTCCCTACCTGACTCAGTTTAACTGTCAAGGATTTCATGGATTGATGCCATGTTTTTGTTTGGCCACCACTTACCCTTTTCCAACCTGCACCTATATCAGCTAGCAATGCCCGTCGGGGGAGGCGGTGGTTAGGCATGCGCACCACGTGACCTAGCCATCTCAGTCTATGTAACTTTATAGCCTCGTCGATTGATTTTTCCTCTTTGCCGAACACTCTACGCCTAACGTCAGCATTACTTACCTTATAAAACCACCTAACGTGATAAAGAGATCGCAGACATCTATGATCGAAAGCAGTCAACCTTTTCATGTCTTCAACGCGTATTGGCCATGTTTCAGAGCCATAGAGAAGGACGGAGCGAACTGCTGGGCAGTACACACGTCCCTTGGTTGATAACCGGATGTCACGCCTACGCCAGAGATGGTGTAAGTCAGCAAAAGCAGCTCGAGCTTTTCGGATCCGTGCTGAGATTTCATCGCCAATCAGTCCGTTGGTGCTAATACAACTTCCGAAATAGGTGAAGTGGTCAACATGTTCTATCACTTCACTCCCTATCACTAAGTTAGGAGTTGACGTGGTCCAGTCCTGTAGCAGCATCTTACATTTTACAGGGGCGAATCGCATGCCAAACATACGAAAATTGCTGCTCAAGGTGTTCAGAAGACTCTGCATTTTGTCATCATCCTCCCCTAACAGGACTATGTCATCTGCATATTCTAAATCTATAAGACTATTCCCTGGTAACAAGTCGATTCCTAAGTCATTACGTTCAGTTAAGGATACTTTCATCAGCATATCTATGATGAAGTTAAGCAGAAATGGGGAAAGTGGACATCCCTGTCGGACACCACTGGTTGTTACCAATTCAGATGACAATTCCCCATAAGCCCTTACAAGACTACGTGAGTTTGAATAGAGTGCCTTGATTAGTGCAATGTACTTTCTTGGCACTCCCTTCACAGTCAGACATTGCCATAGTACCTTTCGATCCACGGAGTCGAAGGCCGCCTTCAAGTCAAGAAATATGACAATTGTTGGACGCCGAAATATGGACTAACTTAAAAGTGAAATAGATAATTAATCCTAATTTATACATTATTTTGCACATAAACTAAGCATAATTGATTCTTATGTTGAGTCAATTTTTCATCAGGGGAAGTACATTAAATCACATCCGCTAATTAAATTCACCACTTGTATTTTTTATAGTTTCAAGTGGAATTTTACCACAGTTCTCATTCATTCATTCATTGGCTTTGGAGTGAGATGTTTGCTTCCTTCCTTCATTTGTCATTTCATAGCCTTAAACGGATAACAAAGCAGTTGTGATCTGAATAATGTAGATTTCCAGACTATGTTGAAACTTCTCCTAGAATTGTGTGCCAAATTGCAAACAGCAGATTTGATTTAATTATATTCTCAGTTCGTCTGAGTAGGCAGTCAGAATTCGGGTGGTTTCAACAGGTTCTGCTCTCTGAACCCAGTTGTACCGGCTCGAATTTGAACAGAACAACCTCCAGGTGTTTAGACCTAGCTAGCAAGCGTAACCACTTGTTGTGGGTGGTACGCGACTTCTCACATCAGTAAACAATTAGCCACTGATTATTCCCATATACAAGAGGGAGACAAGTCTCCCAGTGATAATCACAGAGGGATTAGCTTGACTAATATAGTATCTAAAGTCCTAGGCTCAATAATCGTGCGTAGACTAAGTGGTACTCGGGAGGCACAAACACGAGAGATCCAGGCGGGCTTTAGACCAGGAAGAGGGTGCATTGATCATATCTTTCTTCATCCTTCCACAGATTCTAGAACATAGATATTCCTACCGGCGTCCAACAATCATTATATTTCTTAACCTAAAGGCGTCATTCGATTCTGTCCACCGAGAGGTTCTCTGGCGATGCTTGGCTGTAATAGGAATGCCGAGAAAATACATTGCACTGATTAAGGCACTCTACTCGTACTCATACAGCCAGGTGAGGGCTTACGGCGAGTTATCATCTGAAATGGTGACGACTAGTGGTGTCCGCCAGGGATGCCCATTATCCCATTTCTATTCAACTTCATCATAGATGTACAAATGGATTTAACCCTAACTCACTTTAGAGAATCAGGGACTGACTTGCTACCAGGGAATAATCTCGTTGACTTAGAATATGCAGGCGATATAGTCCTTCTAGGCGAAGACGCTGACAAAATGCAGACTCCTCTAAACACCCTGAGCCGCAATCTACGAATGTTTGGCATGCGATTCGCTCCCGCCAAATGCAAGATGATGCTACAGGACTGGACTATATCGACGCCTAGTTTAAAACTAGGAAGTGAAGTGGTAGAGCACATTGACCGCTCTACTTATTTGGGAAGTACCATCAGCCAGTGCCAACGGGTTGATCTCAGACGAAATCTCAGCACGAATACATGGGGCTCGTTTCGCATGTGCCAGTTTACGCCAACTCTGGCGTCGACGAGATGTTCGACTATCGACCAAAGGGCGGGTGTACTATTCATCAGTCCGCTCCGTCCTCCTTTATGGCTGTGGGACCCGGCCATTGGGAGTGGAAGACATGAAAAGATTAGCTGTCTTTGATCATAGGTGCCTGCGTTCTATTTCCCGTGTGAAGTGGTATATTAAGGTGAGCAATATTGAGGTTAGGCGTCGAGTTCTAGGTAAGGAGGGGAAATCAATCGACGAGGTTGTGAAATTAGATCGACTGAGATGTTTAGGACATGTGTTACGTATGCCTAGTCATCTCCTTCCTCGTCAATAGGCAATGTTAGCTGACATAGGATCAAGCTGGAAAAGAGTTAGCTAGTGGTGGTCAAACCAAAACATGGCTTCATCAGTCACCGAAATCCACAACAGTTAGTTTAAGCCACGTAGGAAGGTGTAGATTTCCTGGTTGGGGTCCTCGGGACGGTAAAAACCAATGGTTGGAAACAATTGGTGATATGGCTCGAAATCGTTCTCAATGGCGCGGATGCATCCACTCCTTGTGACTTATGATTTCTAGTGAAACTATATTGTTCTTCGTTATTACTATTCCTTTTGTTTCATATCCCTGTCTACTGCCTTTATTTTTCATTTCTTCTACTATCTTCTCTTGCTTTGTGTGCTTCATGGAGTGTGGCGACTTGAACTGCCGCACATATGTGCGTCGGTGGCACAGTGGTTAGGACTCTCGCCGACCATGCACATGGTCCGGGGTTCGAGCCCACGCCGGCGCACACCTGATATCTATGGTCGGCCTGCAAAATTTGGGCTACCGATATCCATGCTGAAAATTCCATACTTGTACCAAAAATACAGTGTGGAATCAAGCTGTAAATCAAAAATTAAAAAAATTAAATTAAAGTTCTATGTCGAAAATAGTTAGACAGATAGACAAACAGTTGGCTTATAGGGAAGGAGTTGCGTAAAATTTAAACAATCACATCATTTCACTTAGGATGGTTTTGAAAATGTTCAGGTGATAATGTAAAGTTGTGGCTGAATTACTCGACTTACTGGAAATGTTCTACGGTAATAAATTATTTATTATCTGCCTAACGAATTTTCGACACTGACAAAGCATCATCATCAAGTTTCACAAACAGGGATTGCTAACAGCCTAATGCATTCGATAGCAGTTGATGCTGTGTCTCTTATGTGAATCTTTTGTTACTAGATGCAGTGATCAAAGTCAACACCCAGATGATCACAGGAATATTTCAAGTAGTACCTTTTATCGACAGTGAAAGTTGTTCACATATTGCAGCCAAAGGGAAGTTAACTTGTTGTTCACAAGTTTCTTTAGAAATCGACTAGAATCTTTGTACAGCATTAAAAAAGGACAACTTTTACTACAAAAATAGTTGACGCATTTATTAATTGCTCTGTAAATTATAGAACAGGAAGTATGGACAAATGCACTTCAAGAGTCCCACTTCTTTTTTTCTGACATTCCACGAGGAATTTCCTGTGAATCACTTCACTGCATTGTATTAACGATCTTCCTTTATGAATGGCATTCGAAATATTTCAAAAAGTTTTCGGGCCTGGAAAATAACAAGATATGTAAAGACAAGTTAGGTATGCTTGATTCATGTGTACAGAAACATCGAATGAGATCTCGTTATTTTTCTTTTCTTTTTTAGAAGCAAAATATTGGTCTTCATATGAAAAAAGGCAGGAAAATTGCTGATCATAGCAAAGACTGTCAATTTACATTACACAGACTTTCCATTGACGACATTACCTCCTGTCCAACTTCTCATCAGGCGTCACACTCTTTAAATCGTAAAAGTGTCAAGAACTTGTTATACTCCATCGAGAGAATTTTTATCAAAGGGAATAATTATTGTTTTATGATATCAATCAATCCACTTTGGAGGAGGTATAATATATCCGTGAGACTATTTACAATGAATTTAGTAGCACTAACTGTACATAACATACTTGTATATAGCTAGTTGAAGGCAATCTGCAGGAAGCGTTGGACCTAGGTTTCGTGCTAGTTGGCACTCACCAGTCAGCAAGACTTATCTGCAACCTTGAAGGAACTCATGTCCCTTCATAGATTCGAACCCGCGTCACCCAGTGCTGCAGTCAGACGTTACCACTGAGCTATTCAGACTCTCGATTGACCTCCTGTAGGACTATAGTGGATAGTTTCATTGGACACTAGTACCTAGTGTGATATGTCTAGTCCTTTCTTTGGTGCAGACTGAATTCTATCAGCCAGTCAAACACTACGTACTAGTGTCCAATCGAAATACTTGTATATACCACGTACATAATATACAATGAAACAAAATGCAAACTTACTTTCAATTGGCCAAAGCCAGGACATTTCTCTAGTGTTGATTGATCAGCGCGTATTATATCAGCAACTGTCTGAAAAATTATATATTGAAGAAAAAAAAAGCGAAGTTTCTGATACTGACATAAGACTACAGGCGCGTGGCCTAACACCTATTTGATAGGCAAGCATATGATAAAAAAGGAACCTTCAGAAAAAATGTCAACAAACCTACATCGAATTTCGTCATTGCAGATACCGCGTCAGCTTTTGTTATCCGACGAACAGATGTTAAGAAGTCTGTGAATTGTACAGCATAATCACTTTGGTTGTTTGATTCAGCCATTAGGCTATCAGGTGGTTTATTTTCTAAGGCTTTATAAGCTTCTAAATACCTTGCTGCTTCTTCTACTCTGTTAATGACAACAAAAAGAGTAAACAGAATATTTAACTGTTTTATTTTGAGAAAAGGCTGAATCGTAACTAACACCTTATATTTGCCTACACCTTAAGTAAATTTACTAGCACTGTATAAACTAAATGTAGCAAGCGGAAAGCTACGCTTTCATTATGCTCAAACTGACAATTTAACAGTTTGGTCAGGCACAAATCGAACATGTTACTTCGTATTTAGAGATAGACACCAAGATCACTGAGAAGTTGTGACCAGCGGAGTCCACCAAGTCAAGTAAAAGAGGACAGTTATTAGCCAATTGACATTGGCTAACGGTTGTGCTACATACAGTGAATTGGTAGAAGTTGGAGTCTGACGGGCAACTGGATCGGGGTCTCAATGGCTAAATTGTCTACGAGCTCGCCTTGACAGTAACTGCAAGCTCCTGGCTGACAATCTGGTGGGTGCGTACTGTTGAGGAGTCCCAAATATGGAAGAAATAACTGCCCAGTGCTTCCTAGTTTCTAAATGTCTCTCTAACCGATGTCAGCTCGTCATCGATGCCAAAAACCAATCAAATTTCTGCTAATCAACACTTGAAATAACAAGCCAACCATAAGAGTCTCAGTTCATTTCATATTTCCTATTACTGACTGTCTAGTGCACAGTAGTTTTGAGAAGAAAAATAGTGTAAACTCGTAAACACAATGGTGTCACTTCATGATATAATTGACCAAGGGTGTTTTATTCAGTAACTCATTAAAAGGTGAGACTATAAAAAACAAAAGTGAATAGTCTGCGACTAGGCATAGTTGAAACCAATGAATAATAAATTGTTAGTCATACTGAAAGTGATTCATGCTTATATCTACTTTGATTTCAAATTGCATTGCTTCACTCTGAGCTGTGTTACTAAAATAATATCATAAACAAATTGGAAGTCAAGTCTCTGTTCACGTATTAAAAGACTGTTACCTTGTCTTAAAGTAAAGCTTCTATAAGACCTTTCTTAAGCTTTTAAACACACTATATTTTTTCGATAAGGAGAGGTAAGGAAGTAAGTTTCACGTAACATAAAAATGGAGATTTCTATTGTCCCTATATATGTAACACATGACAATACTGCTTAGTATATCAAATTGTCACATATTTGCTCTACACACACACACACACCAGATGTAGCCAGGCTTCAATATAAAAAGTGGAAATATCATCACAGTATACAGAAACTAATATTACAAAATTATGTAGAAAATATTAAATATCAACTTACGACCAGGCTAACATCAGGGTTAGTCGTTCCGTCCAGCAAATTTTACAAAGCTCTTTTAAAGGGTAGTATGGATCTGGCTAGAATTGAATAAAACAAAGCATTTCCATTATTAAAAGTGTGCATGAAGTGTGGATATGTATTTATACTGAAACAATATTCAGTAATATTAAAGCGAAATTCAGTTAGTTATTGAGTAGGCTAAACCATTGAATTATAGTCAATTAGTATAGCGATTTCGTAATCGCTTCCTACCCACACTTCTCATCAGTTTAAGTCAAAATTTGAGGTTACTGTGTATAAAGAAGCAAGTAGTAACTTATGCCAGTTCCACAAGTGGATAACACTGGAGTCTGAGACGATAAGTATGGGGTTCGAGTCTTACTGAGGTTGCAGGGCACACCCAGATTATAAGTCCCAAAATGGGAGGAAATGTGCGTGATGTATTCCCATACTAATCACCATGATCCTAATTCAATCAGTATTCTCTAGAAATATACCAGAGAACAAACGAACAACCTAAGTTCACCAGTCGTCTGTATACTTATTACGATTATTGTTCACATGGATTTCGAGTAGACCATAGGGTTTCTGAGGCATATCAACACTCTGTTCTGCTCTCTGAGCGATTGCCAACATCTTTTCATTTCCCCACGACACAATCTCTTCAAACGCAACGTCTATGGACTACATCAAATAATCAACTTGACATAAGCGTCAGTGTTCCTTAAACTGAGTGCCTAGGTAAGTGAAATAGATGACTCCCTTCAGATTTCTTCTGTTGATGGTGAGTGGTGATTTTTGTTGTTGGTTAGGTACCTTCATCACCTTTGTCTTCTCTCTACGTTCACTTGAAGTCCTGTCTACACTGCGTCTTTTGCCAACTCGTTGGTTTTCTCCTGTAGATCTTCCAGCTTGTAATGCGTGAGACAGAAATCATCTGCAAAGTCCATATCTCTAAGAATCTTTTTTTCAGTGTACAGAGCTGTTTTGCTCTTGTCTTCACTTCAAAGGGCTTCACTGAATTTTACAGTGTGGCACCAACGCACATAACTGTCGAATGAGGTATATAAATGTCTGCGATACTGCACTTCTAAGTGTTGAAGTAGTCCTCAAATTACTTTAACCATCTACTTTTACTACAAGTATACACCAACGGACTGATTGGCGATGAAATCTCAGCACGGATCCGAAAAGCTCGAGCTGCTTTCGCTGACTTACACCATCTCTGGCGTAGGCGTGACATCCGGTTATCAACCAAGGGCATGTGTACTGCCCAGCAGTTCGCTCCGTCCTTCTCTATGGCTCTGAAACATGGCCAATACGCGTTGAAGACATGAAAAGGATGACTGCTTTCGATCATAGATGTCTGCGATCTCTTTATCACGTTAGGTGGTTTAATAAGGTAAGTAATGTTGACGTTAGGCGTAGAGTGTTCGTCAGGCAAAGAGGAAAAATCAATCGACGAGGCTATAAAGTTACATAGACTGAGATGGCTAGGTCACGTGCTGCGCATGCCTAACCACCGCCTCCCCCGACGGGCATTGCTAGCTGATATAGGTGCAGGTTGGAAAAGAGTAAGTGGTGGCCAAACAAAAACACGGCCTCATCAATCCATGAAATCCTTGACAGTTAAACTGAGTCAGGTAGGGAGATGCAGACTCCCGGGTTGGGGGCCTCGGGACTCTAGGAATCAATGGCTGGAGACAATAGGTGACATGGCTCAAAATCGTTGTCAATGGCCAGTGCAGATGTATTCAGTCTCTGTAATCTTTCATATTCCTTTCTACCATTACCCATTCTGTTTCACTCTTATACTTGTCAAACTGTATTGATTCTCTTCACTCATCTTCTTGTCTACCTTTGTGTGCTATTTGGAAGGTGGCAACTCGAACTGGTGCACTTCGGTGCCAAGTTCTATGTTGAATCCAGACAGACAGACAAGTATACAGTACTCTCTTACTACAAAAGAAGGTGACACTATTATTTTTCCTAGCTGTGGACAATCCAACAAAGAAAAAAATGAAGGATAATCTACATCGGCAAGTTTGAACCGAATACATCACAGACCAGACCTCATTTTCATTTAATTGACTAAAATCTATTCAACCTTAAAGAATCAAAACAAGTGTTAAATGGATGCGGGACGAATCGTAAAAGTAAGTTAATCTGGGGAGTTTACCAAATGGCAAATTGTAAATCATTTTTCAAAAGTTCATATCCTCTCTTTATTAGACGGTTGCCAGTCATCTTAGGTAGGTGTAGATCTACAAGTTTTCAACTTGGTCAATGCAGTTCTTTTGATTTTTTCTTCTTTTGCAGCAGAGTTAGTGAAATTTTTCCCCCAAGCTGTTTAGAGAATTGTTGTATCATTTCTTCCGCCAGCATGTTGGTTTATATATAGTTGAACATTTTTTTATTCGTTTACCTTCCCGCGGAACATAGGGCTTCAAGCGAGAGGCTTGAAGTTTCATTAGTAGTGATGTTTATTTTAATGGGATGGGGTTGCTAGCCTCATGTCCAACCTTCCCTCTTCACCAGTCTTATTACCGGTTTGGCGAGGTGTAGGAGTGCGTCGGCAGGGGATCGAACTCCGGACCACCTGCATGGTCGGCGAGCATTCTATCGCTGTGCCACTGACGCCCTATAGTTGCACAAACACGCATCGGAAACTGTGATTATCAATCTCCCTCGTCATTTTGTGTCAGGTCAGCATTTTAGAAATGCCTTTTTCTATCCCATCTTCTATTATGTGACTAAGAGTGGTAGCACACAGTGTGTGTTACCAAAAAGATTTTCTTTCTAATCTTTCTGTCTTACTGGATGTAAACTGAAATATACTGATTAGCTGATTTACGGTGCCTGAATAACAACGAGATGCTGAGTTAACACGATAAGCAGCTGCCATATACGGGGTATAAAACTCATTCATCATCAAACAAACAGAGTAACTTTAGTTGGTATTCAGCAAAAGGACTGTTCCACGGAGGAACGTAGAGGATAAAAAGCTGGGAATCGAATTTGGACTTCTGTCTTGGTTTTGCCAATTAGAACCTCAGGAAAAAAAACTTACCACAAATACAACACACAAAGTGAAAAAGCATACTATTGATGCTTGAGAGGTTTAGTCTACCAGAAGAGAGGAGAAACTTAATTACTTTTGAAAAGAGTATTAAAGAAATTTCGATAATATTACTTTACTATCTATCGACTTACTACATCCACTTGAACCAAAAGCACCGATAATTGATAACGTTGTTTCGTTTGACGTAATCGTTCAAAAATATATTCAGAATTTAAGTTGTGATAACGCAGGCTAGAGAGTATAAGTGAGTAAAAATAACAATTAAATGTAAATGGAGTTGGTTAATGGAGAATAGTTAATATTAGAAAGAGACTAAACAATACGAACAGTAGAACAAGACAGACACTTTATAGTTTCTGCCATACAGACTCACTATCTTCAGTAGGGCAATAAGACAGGTTATTTAAGCTTTCTGTTATACCTATGCAATCATGATTATTGTTCTTACCCCCCGTTAATTTCCAAGTGAAACATGGACTTCCATAACACATCTCCATTTCATCCTCTTCTCTGCAGCCCTGCTTTAGCTGGCTCCACGATTGCCTACAAACTTTCAATTCCGTCTTGCACGATCTCATTCATGTCACCCTCCGACACCCAACTCGTCATTTCCCATTCGCGTTCCACTCGAGGCTCTCACTGGCGCGCAATATTATTCAACGATTTCCTCACCATGTGTCCGACAGATCTTCATTTTCTTCGGCATATTTGCTGGGTTATGGGTTCTTGGCTGATTTGTTTCTAGAATTCTCTGTTGCTTATACTGAGTGGTCATCTGAATTCCAGAATGAAGACATAAAAGGTAGATGATGATGATGATAAAAGTCTGAAGCCTGTCCGAAATGCTTTTGGTGATATGCCAAGTCTCTCGATCATACAGGAGAAGTGACTTGCCATCACTGTTAAAAATCCGAGATTTGTTCTTTATGCTTATTGCTCACGTAATTAAAGAGGAAACCTATGCATGTCATCCTCAGAAAGCCACCTCGTCATTTCTCATTCAATTCACACATCAGGCTAAGGCGAATGACATCACTTGAGGGTCTCCTAACGTATATACAATTCATCTGCATTTCCTTATGTATAATTGTCGGGTAACTTCAGATTCACCAGTCTTCTCTCCTCAATCAGCTTCCAGATGTCTCCTTGCTTCAGATGTCTATGCAGGTTTCCATAAGCGTTGCTTTGAGACAGATGTAGTGATCTTCTACACAGGTTTTCCAGTGGTGTTACTCCATATCTTCGACTTTTTTCTGATGACTGCCTTGAGAGTGTTATTTGTAGCTCTTTCCTTTACCTTCTGAGTGGTAAATATGAGTTATGTTTTATTTCCAGTTTCTTTGAAGCCTTACAACTTGATCTTGAATGTTCTTTAAACTAGATAGTGAATGCTGTAAGCGTCCGCCGGTACTTTTTATCCGTGTTGTGCTCAGTAGACAGCATCTTTACTTTCTTGAGATTGCGATGAAGGCTGTCTGGTGAAACTCACGTCAGCTTGTGGATATCATTGTGCTTGCACACACTGTGTCGGATTACGAAATCACTGGACGCACAGAAGTCGGCAAAAACTTTCGATAAATTCTCTTCCTATGTCATCCGAACTTGCCCATTACTGCTGTCACTTCACTGGTGAAGTCTTTCTTCTTCTCTTAGTATGCAATATTTGAAGGTGTATAGCACTACATAATTGTAACTTTCCTTCTTTTTAAATTGAAGCTTGCTGTCATGATCTGAGAGTAGGTTGCTTCTCAGCTTACGAGAACCCTCGATGCTTTAGATGACAGCATGCTTCCACACCTTGAGTGCATTCGCGATTGTCGTAGATCATTGACTCTCTAGCTGACAATTTGGAGAAGCTACTTCGATTCTATTTGCTCTCACAGATTTCTAACACTTTTAGGTTATACATTCCAATTTTTCAGACATGTGAGGTGATATTTTATGTCGCCACGCTTACTTTTGCTTTCATCAAAAGATGACACATCAGTCCCCTGGTTTCTCGGAGGTTTTCATTTTCTAGCACCACCCGTCTTGGACATGAGGAGTTTATCCTTCAGTGTTTTAGAGTTTCAGTAACAGTAGTATGCTGGGATTCCATGCTCCAAACTCAAGCCTTCGTTTTTTTCTGAGCAGGTGAAGTTACTTTATGAGAAATTTTTTTATTCCTTCACGCTCCCCGTGGAACATAAGTCTTCAAACTAGAGGCTTGAAGTTTCGGTAGAAGTGTTGTTTATTTTTACGGGATGGGGTTGCTAGACATATGCTCAACTATCCCCCTTGGCCAGTCTTATTACTAGGCTAGCGAAGTGTAGGAGTGTGTCGGCCGGGGATCGAACCCCGAACCATATGCTTGGTCGGCGAGCATTCTATCATTGTGCCACCGACGTAATAACTTTGGTGATCGGACGAGAAGCGGTGCTTTCAACGTGGTATGGTCGCCGTGGTAAATAATTAACGATAACACTAGAAATTAGAATGTTTGTATTTCCAAGTGACTCAAAATGGATGTTACACAACACACCGTTTCTCACATACTGCAACTACTATAACTAAATGACATCAAGGTTAGAAAGTATCACTAAATAAGCGAATCTATGAAAAATTTGTATGTTCAATATTGCCATCGTTTTAAATAACTAAAAGTTTCTGACAAAAAAAAGCAAACACAACCTACCTTAAGAAGTAAACGCAGTTATTTCGTCCTACAACAAAATCAGGTTCAACATCTGCATATTCCCATGCAACATTACGTATCTGCTTCAAGACAGCATTGCCTCTCTAGACCAGTTGAAGGAAAGAAAAAGATATTTACTATGATGCCAATGTATATATGTGTCAGGGTGGATTGATGACAGGCATAAAAAATTACTCCCGAAATTTTAATGCGACCTTAATGAAAATGAGAAAAATAAAATTACTGCTCTTAAAGGTGATATTGTCGTGTGTGTGTGTGTGTGCTTGGCATATTGATACACGAAAAAACCTCAAATACCTAACGATGTAAGCAGGTGTCATGCACAAGAAAATGGAGTTATATTCTCCATCTTTTAGAATAAACTTTTCCAAGACTTCTGGTCTTGACAAGATGATAACGTCATAGTTGACAGGATTTTCAGTTGTGATTTCACTGAGCTTTAAGTACCGTTGAACGCCTACAATTTTAGTGTAGGCACCCAGAATTAAATGAATTTGAATGCAAAAGCTTGATGCACAACAGTTTATATTTGTCAGTTCTTATAATAATATTATTATTCCCCTTTGGTTTCCGAGTGGGACATAGGGCTTCAGCAACACACCTCCACTTTCTTCTGTTTTCCGTCGTCCTCTCCACCTAGGTCCACACTATTGACAATAATCTTTCATCTCCTCCTCAGACGGTCTCCTTCATGTCATGCTCAAAGCGGCGACCCACTTTGTCGCTTCCCATTGAGATCCACTCCCCTGCATTGCGCACGATGTCATCCGATAGCATCAACATATGCCCGACCAATCCATCTCCATTTTCTCCTACATATCTGTTGAACAAGTTGGCTCTTGCTCGGTTGATTTGTTCCCAGTCAAAGCTCTTTATTGCTATTTCCTTCTGGCTATTTGACCTTCAGTATTGAGCCATCGAAGACAGATGTTGATGAAAGTCTGCAACTTGTAGGGAATCCTTTCAGTGACAAGCAGTATAGTGACACGCATGATTATTGAGCCTAAGACTTTAGTCAAGCTAATCCCTCTGTGATTATCACAGGAAGACTTGTCTCCCTTCTTGTATATCGGGATAATCAGTGATTTACACCAACCCGATGGGACTTCCTCTGATTCCCAGACGCTGCCTAGTACCTCAGTTAATGCAGACAGTAAGCTGTCTCCACCGTACTTAAATACCTCTGGAGTCATTCCATCAGGTCCCGCTGCTTTGCCTAGTTTCAGATTGGTGACAGCTTTAGTAACCTCAATTAGGGATGGAGGACCTGTGTCTATATCCCATTCAGGGAGGTGTTGGATGTTCGGAAGATTGAGCGTGGCTGTGGGCCAATTAAACTGCTCCTCATAATGCTCTTTCCAGCGATCCATTCGTCTAACCAGGGAGCTAATTATAGTGCCATTTTTTCCGAGATTGTTTCACTAATGATTTGTCTTCTCCCACCCGTTTCCCTGATGAGTCTAAATAGTTGCCTGGTGTTGCCTATCCTCGAAGCTTTCTCCATCTCTTTGGCTTTTGTCACCCACCACTGTGACACGCAGTGCAAGTTTCTGACTCGAGTAAACGCGCCAACTTGACATTGGTGTTGAAAATCCAAATATTGTTCTTTATGCTAAGTGTAGAAGATTTTCAAACTGGTTTCAGATTGATGAAGGCGTATCTTGCCTTTATGATTCCAGCTGGTTGGCTTTGACATTTTCATCCGTTCCGGCTGCCTGTAGTTGTAACGATACTTCCTAGATAAGTGAAGGAAGTATAATTAATAATACAATGCAAATTAATAAAAAAACTGTTAAAGAGTTACCTGACGCTGATTGACAAGAATAGCATTTCCACGTGATAAAAGCGTTCCCGCTTGACCGCTACAAGTAATAAACGAGTATATCATCCTGTTATTCCTGTGTTAAGTTTTAACCGAATTATTATAATGAATAAATTAACGATTGACTCAAAGCAACAACGCTGAAACCTAAAAGAAACACTGTAAAACTACTACTCACGAAATTTCCAAATATTGAAAATAGAAAATATTGAGCCAAGGTGGAAATAATTTGTGAAAATGCAGAATAGTATATATCTGTAAAATAGGAATATACAGAGATCTCAAAGACAGAAGTGCAGCAGTTCAAGTTGCCATATTGTATAGAGCACATGACGGATAAAGAAAAACAAAGAATTTAAAGAAGCTATAAGGAGTATAGATTAACACGAGAAACAATGAGAACTTAATGGACTTAGGAAACTACAAAAAAAAGAGAATGTATCCACGTCAATGAAAAGGATTTCGGGCCATATCAACAACAGTCGCAAGCCATTGGTTCTTCGCATCACAAGAGCCTGAAGCAGGCAGTTTGTGCCTTCCCAACGTGGATCAAATCAACAGCCAGATTTCGCATGAATTGATTCCAAGTTTCGATTTGACTGCTTACTCCTTTCAACCTAATCCTTGCTTGACAAGGAAGCCGGCGGATCGGTACTCTTAACGCGTATTAGTCAGCCAGTAGAAGTAGTTTGATCATCTCTCATTGACTTACTTGTTCTCCTTACCTAACACTATACTCCTAACCTCAATATCACTCACTTTATCATAGCACTTAACACAGGAGACAGAATGCAAATACATATGGTAAAATACAGCTGCCTTCATCGTATCTATCATGTCCAGAGACTAGACCTCACAGCCATTAAGAACGGGGCAAACTGCTGCTCAGTACACTCATCTTTTGGTCGGTAGCCGGATAACACACCCACAGTAGCTTGGTGAATGTAACACAATTTTTTTGAATCTGTGCTGAGGTTTTATAAGAAACCAGTTCATTGGGACCGATGCAACTTCCCAAATAAGTCCAGTTGCCAGCATGTTCAGCCAGTTCACTCTCTATCTTTAAACTGATCGTCGATGCAGATCAGTCCTACAGAACCATTTTACAAATGACAGATGCAAATCGCATGCCAAACATTCGAAGATTTCTGCTCAAGGTGTTCAGAAGACTCTGTATACAATGTACATAGTCTAAGTTCACAAGACTGCTCTCTCTGATTACAAGTCAATCACTAAGTCGCTAAAGTCAGTGTCGACTACTCTACTCTACATCTACGGAGAAGTTAAACGAAAATGGAGACAGCAGACATCATTGCCATAATAGATCTTATTGGTTATGATGAAGTATGCAAAATCAACACCACAGTATAGCCAGAGTCACTCAGAGCAGCCAATTAGTGAGTGGTCGTACAGTTTGCATAGAACAATGCATGCTACTTATACAAATTCATTATTTGAATACATGGAATAATCCATCATATTTGAACATTTTTCCTGTCAACTTTACATTCATTTGTTGTGTGAGAATACCGAGTATATTTTAGAGAACAAATTATGTATATATAATGAGTTTGTTACCTCATTACACTGTTAACTCGTATTTGGAAGCTCGTTTTGTTTAACATATTCAGGTTGAAGAAGATGAATTCCACAATTTTTAAAAATCTACTTTACAACATCGTATACCTGTTTGCATAAATATGTACTAAAAGTAATGTGTTCCAAGTGGAATATAGAGTTTCAACAAACATGACATTTGAAATTTCAGTAGCAGTGCTGTTGTTTTTCACATGCCCAACTTTCCCCATTTTCCAGGTTTACTACCCACATAGGCAAGAATTAGGAGTGCGAAGGCAAGGAGTTCAACCCAGACACTATCTATGTAATTGGCTGGCATTCTGCTACTGAACCATCGGTGCATGCAGTAAGGGAATAAATCAGACATACATTTGAGCCTAAGAATATGCATAACGGGAAATTTAAGTAATTCAATTGCTAAAAATAGTTCACCAATGGACAGACAGTATTGATTTTTTCAAAGTGTCTGCAAAATAAGCCTTATTTCAGACACAACACAGAGTAATTAATAATAATTATAACAATAATCACTTTTGATGAGTTGATCTCAACATAATAAGTCTACCATCCCTGAAGATTTTATACTGTTCTTAGACAGATCATTACTTAAGGTTTTATGCTTCAGTTGTAAAAAGCGCACTTTAGTGAATATAAGCTTGCTGCTTAACAGGCACTCAACAACTGATAAGTTGCTTACCTTCATTAATGAGCATCAATACAACTCACAGTAGTAAGATGTGTAAAGACGGCAAGATAAACGTGTTGTTCAACAAACCAGAGATTCTAGTTTCATTCTGTCTGTCTCTTTTCGACACAGAACTTTGCACATATACGTGCGGCAGTTCAAGTCACCACACTCCATGTAACACACAAAGCAACAGAAGAAAGTAGAAGGAAAGCATAATAAAGACAATAAACAGAGGTGTGAGACAAAGGAATAGAAGTAACGAAGAACAATGTAGTTTCATTGGAAATCGTAAGTCACAAGGAATGGATGCATCCGCGCCATTGAGAACGATTTTGAGCCATATCATCAATTGTTTCCAACCATTGGTTTTTACCGTCCCGAGGACCCCAACTAGGAAATCTACACCTTCCTACGTGGCTTAGACTAACTGTTGTAGATTTCATTGACTGGTGCCATGTCTCAGTTTGACCTCCGCTAGCTCTTTTCCAGCCTGACCCTATGTCAGCTAGCATAGCCCGTTGAGGAAGGAGATGACTAGGCATACGTAACACATGTCCTAAACATCTCAGTCGATCTAATTTCACAGCCTCGTCGATTGATTTCCCCTCCTTACCTGGCACTCGACGCCTAACTTCGATGTTGCTCACCTTAATATACCACTTCACACGGGAAATAGAACGCAGGCACCTATGATCAAAGACAGCTAATCTTTTCATGTCTTCCACTCCCAATGGCCGGGTCCCACAGCCATAAAGGAGGACGGAGCGGACTGATGAGCAGTACACCCTCTCTTCGGTCGATAGCCGGATATCACATCTACGCCACAGACAGCGTAAACTGGCATATGCGAAACTAGCCCTCTGTATGCATGCGGAGATTTCGTCAGCGATCAACCCGCTGGCACTAACTGATGCAACTTCCCAAATAAGTGAAGTGATCAACGCGCTCTGCCACTTCAATAAATAAAAATATGAAACGTGCTTAACCACCGCAACCCCCTCCCTCCAGCTCTAAAAACTTCGTCTAACAGGTTTTCAAGGAATCGAAATAGCTATTAAACGTGATAACACTTGTGAAACGAAAGCAGCCACAACGATCACAGTACACAGGCAAAGTACACCTTCAACATTTTTTAAGTCTCATGTTTACTCAGACGATAGGAGAAAATCTGATAATATTGTATCGAAAAACCGAATATCTCATTTCTCTGGATGATGTAGACGTTCACAAAATTTTACTTTTTTTTTACTGTCAAACACAACATATACTGGGAGTATAATTTATATAAAGCAAGTATTTTGTATATTTGTATTACCTTTTATTTTCCTCTATCGAAGCAACAGTTGCAGCAGGAACGCGTACGACGGATGGAGTTTGTGACTCACTAGTCGAACTGATTATATCACCTGTTGGCTTAGGTTTGAAAAATAAACCTAAAGTCAACTTTTTATTAGGTGACCCTGATTGACTCGTTTCGGAAGACATACACCAAGATTTTGGTAAGGAATGCTGTTTAGAAATCTCACTCTGTTGACTATTATCATTCGATGTTCTTATTGCTGATGATGACGACGTCCCTGAGCCAACCTCTGCAGTTGTTGATGCCGCTGAAATTGCATCTTGTGTGCTTAAAATATTTAAATCCAACTGGCCTTCTTTATAGGCTTTAAACAATCCAAAACTAGTCTAAAATTAACATTTTACAAGAAAGAAACACAGAGTGTATACTTAATTTTACAAAACAATCAAAGTATTCTGGTAATATAGAGATTGTAAAAGCCCTATGGCAATCTGATATCTCTTAAATGTTAGACCTTCTGCTGAAGTCCACTGAATTTCGGGAGTTTCAACAGTTATGAAGCACTGTTTGTTGGAGAAATATTAACACGCCTACAAAATGTTCGTCGGGCACAGGCTAGTTTGTATCAACCTGGGCATAGGCACCCGCCAAACAATGTGTATGTACTGACTGTACAACAGCTCTCTCTCTCTCTCTCTGTCCGTCCGTTTTTACTGCTGTGAAATATGATCAGCGATTGTGAAAGATGAAAAATATTAGCCGATTTTCGACCATAGATGACAGAGCATTCAGTTTTTCTTCGTGAAATGAGACGAAGAGTGTTAGGTTAGTAGCGGAAGTCAAGTGATGAGGTTGTGACGGCACAGACGTGCGTTACTCTGTCGTTTCTTGTTATTTTCGGAGCAGTAGTAAATTCGGGTGAAAGCACTTGCTTTTTACTAACCTTCACCTGTAGGTTATTAACAGTCAATTGAGCACCATATATCTTCACATTAAATAGTTTGCAATTACTGTTTCACTGAGAGTGACTACAGTACACACGATTTTTAACAAAGGGGGACATGATTTCATAGTGCAACTGTGGTTTGTTTGGTCTATACACTGGACTTCCAACTAAGCGAACCATGGGTTCGAACGCCGCTCCCGCCTACCGACGTTTTCAGCCATTTAGTACCACTTGGCATTACACAATAGATGTGACTCACAGTTAACATGTTTGTGAGTGCAAACGGGTGTGGAATAATATTTTATCGGTTCTTTTGGAAGACGTCCATGAGATACTTTTCTTCAATTTTCTCATAGATGTCTTCCAAAAGAATGGATATCCACGGAATTTCATCAAAAGACATATACCCCCAAGCCAACCTACCAAAGCAAAAGCCACCAAGGAAAGCACAAATAAAATCGCCTTACCACATATAAAGGATATCTCAGAAATCACTACAAGACTCTTTAAACCTTTAGGAGTTGACGTCGTACACAAACCAACAAAGTTGCTTCACTCAATTCTGTGTCAACCAAAAGACTCAACAGCGAACGAATATAAAACCAACATCATCTACAAAATAAACTGTAACAACTGTGAAAAACACTACATTAGCCAAAGTGGACGTCCTCTTCGTCTTCGTATCCATGAACATAAACTAGCCGTCAAAAAACATGATATCCACTCCCTCATATCACTACACACAGACAACCATGGACATCAATTCAACTGGGACAACGTTCAAATATTAGACAGAGGAAACAACAAGAATGCTAGAGAATTTTTAGAAGCTTGGCATTCCAGTGAATCATCAATCAATAGACACATAGAGATAGACAAAATTTATCAACCGATAAGAAAGAAACTTCACACACAAAGAGTCAAAGCTCAAGCCAAAGAAACAATCAGTTTCAACATAAGTAACCTAGAAGGTGTGAAAACACACAAAAACAACCAATCACGTCCAAGGTCACCAGGAGAGATGATTAATAAACTCGGGGAGAAATCTAAAAGCTCACTTCAAATTGAAGTATGCGCTGAAGATGTCACCTAGCAGGGTGATGAAAGCTTCGCAAATTAACAATCCAGCTCAAAGAACACAATCACATCAAAATCATTCACCTGAGCTACAAATCTTCTCTATTATATCCAGTTTGGAAATCTTTTACACTAAGCATAAGGAACTAGATTCGGATTTTCAACACCAATGTGAAGTCGGTTTGTCTACGCGGGTCAGAAACTTGCACTGAGTGTCACTAAAAGGATTTCCAACAAGTTACGAACTTTTCTTAACAGTTACCCATTTCACTGGCTCCATACTGAAGATCAAATGACTGGCTGACCGGCGAGAGAGAGTTAGCAACAAGGAATTCTGGCTGGGAACAAACCAACCGAGTAAAAGCCGATTGTTAAACAGATATGTAAGAGAAAACGGACATGGATTGATCGGGTATATGTTGAAGAGGCTGTCGAATGACATCGCGCGCAATGCAGACCATCGCTCGAGTGGAATCCCAATGTGGAACGATAAGTAGGTCGTCAGTACGAAGGTGGCATGGAGGAGATGAGAGATTATGGGCAATCATGGGACTCAGCTGAAGACGATGACAGAAAATAGAAGAAAGCTGACATCTGTTGTTGAAACCCTGTGATCCCGTCTAAACCCAAGGGAATAATGCTATAATAAATAATAATAATATTAATAATATGAAGTTCTGTAATGTATTTATCGGTTGGTTATACACACAGTGCTGTTGCCAGACAGCGTGCGCTTAACTCAAACAAAATCCTGAACGTTTTTGAAGATGAAAATATCAACTTATATTAAAAATGTGATACTATAGGATGTATTACATAACCTAAAGATTTCATTAAGTACAGAAGAACATTTATGAGTAAAACACTTATTCATCCATTAGCTATTAAGCTACGTTCGAACAGGCTGAAAATACACCTTCAAAAGCAATCTAATTTACTGCTATGTTCGAAAGAAATAAATCTAAATCAAAAGATTAAGGCGGGGATGATAATAATAATACGCATTAAATTGTTTTTTTTTAAAATGTAGTAATGAGAATTACGCATCGAAAATTACATGTTGCTCATCAAAAGTATCCGATAAACGCAAACCAGGCGGATCATCGTTGACAGGTTGACTTGTTGGATCCATCACACGTTTTCCTATAAATACAAAAGAATGAATACTGCATGCCGGAGTCTGTTTATATCAAGCAAACTATAGAAGGTTAGATTTGATGTCTGAGAGTGGCGAGCTAATACACAAAAATGAAACATATCGAACTATATATTGAATAAAATGACAGTAATTTTACAATAGTAAGATTCCTAGTGGGGTCGTGGATGTGCACCGACGAAGAGATCTAAACTAAGGCAAAACATAATGGATTACTATTTTTATCAATAGAAGTCAGATTACTCATGGATTAAGGCAGCAGGTAAGAAGACGTTGGAATGTGGGGTGAGGAAAAAAGGGGTGCGTCGGTGACACAGTGGTTAGGATCCTCGCCGACCATGCACATGGTCCGCGGTTCGATCCCCTGCCAACGCACACCTGATATCTATGGTCGGCCTGCAAATTTTGGGCTACCGATATCCATGCTGAAAATTCCATACTTGTACCGAAAATACAGTGTGGAATAAAGCTGTAATCAAAAATAAAATAAATAAAAATACTATGAAGCAAACTGAATCTTAATTCTAAAATTGGATTACCAAGGCAGGTTTGGACTAATGACAAATAATTTTTAAACACATAGAGCAGGTTTCAGCCTTTTCATAGCAAAGACCTCAACGAATTTAAGTATGTGACGCAAAATGCTGTTCAGTGCTACCAGATTATCAATGATCTCTACTTGTTGTTGGTTCGTGACTAAGTCTACAGTTGTTTAAGTACACAACATTCAGCTACTAAGTCCTGAGTCATTAAACCTTGCACCACCTACTTCATCGCCGGGGTAACATTACTGGCTCCTTCACAATAAATGTGGTTCCATAGCGCAATAACGTGTAACTGACTTCTAACTAACTAAATCAATTAAATCCGATTTCGCGAATAAGGCAACCCACTAAGCGGAAAAAACTGAATCACATAAAAGCATATAGACAGAATGATGTTTTCAGCAACAGGCGTGTATTAAAATAACATTTCCTGTCATTAAACACAAGCATTGCCCTCAAGTATGAAGCTCTAGATTTTCACCATATCAGAACACACCCAAATGTGTCACGTCCTCTCGTATATCGATCGATGAATAAAGTTACCTAGGGTAAGATCATATGGAAGGCAAATCAATATGTGGCATAGACCTATGCAGTCTGTATGGCTTGCGATTTCACGATATACTAAAGAACTTTTTAAAAACTTTTGGTTACATGGCCATAAACCGATTAAAACAAGATGGACACATTTACTCGATTGACATCAGTTTTAGCCAGCATACAGGGTATATCAAGTCCAGGGATATTTCAGCATTATTTTAGTACCTCTTAACTTACTCAATACCCTTTTACAGTAAAGCACTATCACAAGATGTTTTGGCTGGCGAAGTTTTTATTTGAACTCAGTCCCCGGAACAAGACATTTATGTTCCAAGTTATGAGCCCCACTTATTGTGTGAAAGCTGATGATTTCATTCACTTGCTCAAGCTGATGCAGAATTCGAAATTAGGATATAGATCGACTGAAAACAAAGTTTGACCACGGATTGATATCACTTGGAGAAGGATTGAAAACCAGGGAGTACTGGACAGCTGTTTCATCCTAGTATGGGAATCATCGGCAGAACGCACCCGCTGGGGTTCGAACCCAGGACCTTCCGGTTAGAAGGCAAGCTCGTATACTGCCGATGATTTCCAACCTAGGATGAAACAGCTATCCAGCACTCCCTGGTTTTCAATGATTCTCTAAATGATATCATTCCGCGGCCAAAATCGTAAACACAAATCTAATCCTCACAAACCAACTCTTGAAGATAAAGTGTTAAAACTAATGAGCTATATATCAATGGAGAAAGTCATAATTATTTTCTTAATAGCCACAGAACAGTAGGGTAAAGCAGCACAGTACCTAAATATCTGGAGTGCACAATCAAACACAGAAATTATCTGTCACGGTTCGACACTAGCTGTATATCATAACCTTAAGATGGCTTTTACCTCTACAAACTCTTCAGCTGTAACCAATGCCTGGTAAAAAAAATCCGCTTATTGGAAGCTCTATACTCAAAAACACCTCACAGCATCACAACGTATGACTGCCTATCATATGTGTGAATAGCATTCGGAGGAAATGTCAGCACTTTCTCTCTTTTCTACTCAAGCTAATAAGACAGGTAGATCAATTCAAGAGAGATTCCTATATCATAAATGTTATTAGGATGCTTTCAGTGGCAGTAAGATGTTTGGGGGTATGTTTCATACCTGTCAACTGTGGACCATTGTTGAAGGCTCACCTGACACACCGTAATTATAGGAAATGAAGGGGTCAAGCACTTCACTTGGAACGTCAAAATGGTTCAGGTGATTTTCTGAAAAGAAAAACTTCAGTACAGGAAAAATCGATTTTCACCACACCTCATCACAAGAGGTGTTCAGAGGCTAAGTGTGAAGTCTTCGACAAGATGAAGAATTCAAAAAGTGAAATTACAAGCCATCATCGTCTTAGACAATGGCAGCATACGATACACACGCCTACTTATCTGCCTCCTTTATCAGCAAAACTTTGATTAGGTTAGGAAAACGTGAAATAAGTTCCCAAAGAAATCTGTGATGCCGTTAATTGTCTCCAAGAGTCATATGTGAGAATGCGTAGATTATCTTTTCGAGATTCTCATGACAGTCGGAGCTAATAGTCAGAGCATCTTCATTCCTTACTAACATAATCTTCCATACTTCATCTCAACATTATCATGAATGCCGATGCCAAGGGGGGGGGGGTAATCACTGCAAAACTTCACATAAAACCAAATTTATAAAAGGAGGACGAATGAAACAAGGGATTACGAAACTTTGCTAAAAGGAGTCTACCGAGAATAGAACTTGGAGATCCCGTGTGGCCGGTAAGCATTTTCACCATTGAGTCTCCCAACACACCAGCTGAAATGCATTTCAGACACCAGATAAATGCGAAGTAGGCATAAAATGAAATGCACATCACAGCAGAACTACTTATTCCGAAGAGAAATAGAAAAGAATCCCACCAGAAATAGTGATCTGTGAGAGATACAAAGTAGTCAGAGACAACTGAATCTTGAAATAAGGGGAATGCATGTTTTTAAACGAAATCATGCAGAACAGATTATTCATGCACCACTGGGTTAAGAGCTACATTTATCGTATAAGGGCTGATGGTTTCGCCCAGTTGAGCAGGCTGAAGCAGGTGGAGTGAGGCCCCAAAGCCGTGGCCAATTGGCTAACAACTGTGCACATAAGCCACATCTGCACAGAAGTATGTTTCAGTCTTAGACGTTAGGTATTTGAGTCAACAGACACAACAGCCAAAATAATATCTATAAATTGTATAGTCGGACAGTGTCGGTGGCATGGTGGTTAGGACGCTCGCCGACCATGCACATGGTCCGGGGTTCGATCCCTGGCCGACGCACTCCTTTACCTCGCTAAGTCAGTAATAAGACTGGTAAAGAGGAAACGTTGGGCATGAGGCTAGCAACCCCATCCTGTAAAATAAACACTGCTACAGAAACTTCAATCCACTAGCTTGAAGTTATACTCCACAACAGTGCCCAAGATTTATACTTATATCACTAGCTTGAAGCCCTATGTTCCACTGGAGAACGTGAAGTAAAGGAAAGAAATAGTCGGACAGATGCATAGAGTTTGCATAAAATGCCTACACATTTTGAACTGTGACATTTCCACAACAAAAATTGGAAAAAATACAAGCAGAGAAAGAATAATACGATAGAAGTTAGTGGAAATTTCCATATGCGATAAAGAAAGCATTTGTAATGCAGTGAGTGCCTAATGGCAAGAGGTACAATTGTGATTGGAGCTATGATTCAGACCAGCCACCCTCCTAACACTTTTCACATACAAGCCAACTTAACACCCAGAGACAGATGATGGCTCAGCTTGCGCAGTACAAGGGGTCACAGTTGCCTTAAGTCAGTTAGAGATTTAGGCTACCGACTAACCGGCCATCTTTATCTAATAACTTACATTTCACATTATATGACATCTTTATATTCAGACAAAACCAAGAAGATATGTATGACTAAAAGCCTGTTACTCAATGCCTTCCAGTTTCGATAGACGATAGGACAGACTAGGCCTACTGTGCAGTCGGTTCATTTATTCTTTGACAGCTATTTGACAACACAAAGGTTGAAAAATATCAACTGAACTTTTTTATCTGAGTGAGAAATAGTCAATCATTAAACATTTTATGGTGGAGGAGAGATCGTACAACAGATAAGTTTAGTTGGAGCATGCAAAATTCATCTTTATGCTTCTCATATTTTCCACAATACAACTCGAATTATGTTGAAAAAAGAAAAACTTTTTCTAGATCAATAGACTGATTCCCAAAAGCTATCGACCGAATTCACCCACGCAGCGACATTGCCAAGTTTGCTTGGCAAAGGATGTAATAAAATAAAACGGCCAAGTCATTGGTTATTTCCCCCAAAGGTTTCTTCCTTCAAAAAACCCTACCACCGCCACCATTACGACCAACGATAGCAACAACAACAACCAGCAAGAACAACAATCAAATATTATGCCCACATGTGAAAAGACATATTCGCAAAATCAAAAAAATGTATTTGCTCAAAGAAAGACAAAAATAACATTAGGGATAAAGTAAGAAAAGTTAAGAATAATTTGGCTTATAGGCGAAGAACCTCATCACAAATTTGAGAAGAATTGAACAGACACTGGCATATTAGAGAGAGAGTGTGTGAGAATATTGGTTGATATACACTTTGGTTAAATCACATTCTTCCACTTTCGTTTTAACAGAATGTAGACATTATTATTATGATTACTATTATTATTATTATTCAGTGAAATTGTAATAATTTACTGAAGTATTAGCATTAGTATCCTTTGTCATAGTATTATGTTATCACTCTTTATTGCTTCATTTAATGATGACAAGAAGAACGACCAGCTTCACTGTTGAGACTGTAGTTGGCATTTTCCTGTGAGGGAGACTGAAGATCTTCAGCAGTAATATGTCGTAAATGCCCGTCAGGTGTACGATGTAAGTCGCTTAGTTTATCAATCAAGTTTGACAATAGTGGATTACCGCCATATTCAAGAATCAGTTGACGACATCTGAAAGATAATAAACAAAACGGATAGCAAGCAGTTATGTGAAATTATGTGTAGTTATTTTTAATGATTGCTTTGTAATTTCGCAAAAGGGGTTGAAGTTCAGTTACTAGTACTGACACAAATTTGTAAACTGTCTCAGTATTACAGAGTGCAGTGCCGCAAGCATTTATAAACATCATTCTGCAGCTATATGATGACGCCACATTCCACGTGATTCACAACAGGAAGCTCAGAGAACTGCTTGAAAAGAAGTCAGGAATACGACAAAGCAAGTAAGACAATTTAACGATGGTATTCGTGATTTTGGTAGACTGGGTCATATGGTAAATGGTAGAGAGTGAGAAGACAAGAATACGTTGAACTGACAAGAAGACACCAGAAGACCGGGGACTTTGTGAATGATACAAGTTTCATGTCGCATAAACTCAAAGATCTACTGTCTGTCTGTCTGTTTTCGACACAGAACTTTGCACATATACGTGCGGCAGCTCAAGTCACCACACTCCATGTAACACACAAAGCAACACAAGAAAGTGGAAGAAATGTATAATAGAGACAGTAAACAGAGGTGTGAGACAAAGAAATAGAAATAACGAAGAACAATGTAGTTTCATTGGAAATCAAAGGTCACAAGGAGTGGATGCATCCGCGCCATTGAGAACGATTTTGAGCCATATCACCAATTGTTTCCAACCATTGGTTTTTACCGTCCCGAGGACCCCAACCAGGAAGTCTACATCTTCCTACGTGACTTGAACTAACTGTTATGGATTTCATTGACTGGTGCCATGTTTTTGTTTTCCAGCCTGACCCTATGTCAACTAACATTGGCCGTCGAGGAAGGCGATGACCAAGCATACGTAACGCATGTTCTAACCATCTCAGTCGATGTAATTTCACAGCCTCGTCGATTGATTTCCCCTCCTTACCTAGCACTCGACGCCTAACCTCAACCTCAAAGATCTACAGGGGAAAAGTAATAAGTTGGCAGAAGAGGTGGAGAAGACACAACTTTAAATGAGCATAGAGACAACACAGAGGTGGTGAAGATATCTTACCAACAACAACAACAACAAAAAGCACCAATCATCATCAACGGAATAAATCCGAAGTAGGTCACTTTTATTCAGTCAAGTCGGCATTATTCTTTCTGTCACAAGCTGCGGAGACAGATGAGGATGTCAAAGCTAGGGATCGAAAAAGCAAAACTGGTCTTTATTTATTTGAAATCTGAAGATCCAGATCTTCAACACTGATATCAAGTCAGTGTTGCTATATTGTTCAGAGATAGCAAGTCGCCTAGATCATTTCTAACAACCTACAGAACTTTTCGCTCTACACTGAAGATCAGATGGCCGACTAGAGGTAATGACTACTCAAGGGACGCTTGAGAAACGAACCAACGAAGAAATTATTGTCCAATAAATACACAGAAAGAAATGGATTGGGCACACGTTAGGTGACATCACACCTTAGGTTGGCCCAAGTGGAACCCAAATGGAAAGCGATTCATTACTTGGGTTTCCGAGGGTGACATGGAGGTGATTGTGTGAGAAGGAATCGAAAGCTTATGAACACTCGTGGAGAAAACTAAAAATGATCACAGAGAGCAGAGTGAAATGGATACGTGCTACTGTGCTCTTGGGTGCCGGTAGATCGAAATAACAGAAAATATTGCTAGAAATTCATTCGGAGATGTGTTAGAACTCAATGCCGTGTTCAGTATATGGTGGGTACCAACTTCATGATGTTATCTAACACGCCGTAATGATTTCGATTTGCTTGCTTTTGACTGGGTAGACAACCTTAACATTGTAGATGCTCCAATCATGTCTCATAGTCTTTAAAGGACATCGGTTCAATTCATGTGTCCAGTAAACCCATATTGCACGCTTACAGCAAAAGTATGCTTCTGTTTCCCCGGGTAAAGTTGATCATTCCAAGTCTACTCAGACTACTTCGTCTCCTCAGTTAGGCGTTAAATCAATCTTCCAACTAAAAAATACAGTCCTGTATTCTGTTTTCTCACCGACAATGAAGTCGACAGGTTGAAGGCAGTGGGCGGCCTGCAGCCGGTAACGCATTCCACATGGGTGGTTTTACACATTGTAAGTGGTTCTGTTCATCTGTGTACAGCTTTCTCCGCTAGCTTAAATGCTTCACAGGACACTGCTTAGTCGTTATCAGTCCAAGAGAATCTGCTTGTTAAACACAAGTCTCCAGCACTATACACACCTGTCATTCAGTGTAAAAACAGAACTAATCTTTCAGCGGATCAACAGATAAGGTTATGAAGCTATGCATGCCAAGTTACTGTTTCTCTTTGTCGAGCAATGTAAGCTGGCATAAGATTAGGTTGGGAGTGAATTAGAGGTGGACAAATCAAAGCCTAGCATCAATCCATGAATTATCTGACCGCTGGTTTGAGGTAGGGGGAGTGTAGACAGACTGGATGAGGTCCTCGAGATAGTAAGAACCACTGGATTGAAACTGTGGTTGATATAGCTCAAAGTCGGTTACAGTGGCTATACGACAATTTGAACTGCTGCACTTCTTGCAAATTCTATGTTGAAACTCGGTCAGTAGGCTCACAAACCAAACTAATGTAACTGTCTACCTCAACAACGTGGCGATTACAGGTAGTAGTAGTAGTAGGTACGTTGATGGAGATTAAAGTTGTTATCTAAAATGGCAGAGTTCTGCTTTTTCTCTTAAAGAGGAAAAGCGTATATTCTCGATAAACGTGTAAGTCAATCATATCGATAAACTTCTGTTTTCTAAACTCCTTGCGCAGAAATCTCCCTTGGCTTGGCATGCGATTACAAATGTAAGATGATACTGTAGGACTAAACTGCACTGACTCCTATATTTACTCCCTTCAATGCTACTGAAACGAACAAGACTAGTGAGCGTAAAAGTAATGTTTACTGTGACAAACTACAATATTTATTACGAAAATCATAAACCTAATACTGTTCGCACAGTTTAGCCCACCATATATAACTTGGTATAACCAGCGGTTGGCGAACTCCGGCTTCCTCCCCCCCTCTCGAACCACTCTTATGTAGCCACATGTCCATAGCCTGTGCCAGTTAATTCCTATAAACGTTCTCTACGTGGCAAGGGTATTCTCTCAAAAGTGAAAGGGAAAATGAGGAGAATCAGCGCCTATGACCAGACTGGTGAGTATGGAAATGCACTTGAGGGAGCCGGAAAATTCCGATTTTAAAACTATGGTGCACATTGGCTACAGAATCTAATTGGATTGAATGACGTAGGATCCGGTTTTGATCACCGTGAATTATCGGAATACAGCTCCTTACATAGGGACTGGTGTTCAGAAAGTTAGCGTGGGACGGTACGCATATTAACAACCAAATATATTTAGGAAGTTGGATAGAGTAATGTGAGGAACAGTTTAACTGACACATACAGCCAATATGTAACATCATCAGTGAAAATGTTTCACTGATCTGTTAATATCAACCCATCAAAGGAAGTAGTGATCCAAAAAGGACTCTGAGAATTAAAGCACCACAAGGCACTCGTCACAGATAAGTTGCCTTCAGCGGTTTTTAAAGACAATGGTGAGGATCTAGTCAAGGAACCGAGTGGATTGTTCCGAGAAGTATGGGAATGTGACCATGCTCCATTACTGCGGAGTAAAGCTAACCTTATTATGCATATCTTTAAAAAGGACCTGGGTAACGTATATGACAGCCATCGTGGTATTCATATTTTACCGACTTCGTCTAGAATTTCAGCTACCGTCATTCTTCACAGGCTGTATATCACATAAAACGTTGATTCACGAAGAGCAGGCTGGATTTTGTTCCATGTTTTGGATTCATTGATCATATGTTTACTCGCTGTTAGTTGGTGGAAAACCACTCATAATGCAGGCTGATAATGGCTGTATTTCTTGATGTTAGTGCTAACTTAGATTCCCCTGACAGAACCGCTTTCTGGAGTTGTCCGCAAGGTGTTGTTCATGAAGAGTTTGTCAAAACTCCCACATAGAAATAATTCAGGTAGAGTGAAGGCACACAACGAACTATCAATCCCTCAATATCCTTTCAGTTTTGCTATCAATGACAGGACGTATATGGCGGTAGCGTATATCCGCTGTTTGGAGAAAGACTTCTTGATCTCGGGTATGCAAAGTATGTCATCCTACGATGCGATAACATTCGGGCGGTGCATGCTTAGATACAGTTTTCCAATAAGTGTTGGCATCTTAGAACGCCGGCTTTGTGAGTTGGGTATAAACTACGAACGAGCGGCTTACATACCGTTTACTGTTTGGTAGCCATGAGACTGGGGTTTGGCCAGTCCATGACGTGGTGCCGTGGGATAAAGGGTAGTCGTGTTAGGTTAGCATTTTTTGGTGCGTCACGACTCCGTGGGTGGGTGAGGGGCCCAAGATATAATTCAATCTGGTGCTTTAAGACGTTATGACCGAGAGTAGTGAACAATGGCGAGCATGCTGAGATTCCCTTCTTTCTCATCCTTTTGGAAATAACATGAAGGAATGATCGCTCTTTTGAATGCTTTTGGTAAGTATACTAACTTGCTTTCTTGACATTTTTACTCAATAATTCTACTTCTATTTTCCTTACATTTTTATCGCTACTATTTTTATGTGATGAGTCTCTTGGTTCCTTGTAATGCACCACTTTTGTGTTGGAATATTGTAAATAATACTATCATTCTTATCGGCTTCTTGTTGGATCATTCTCAGTGCACTCGCCTTCTTTACTGACTTTTCATTGAGACACAAATTATTGTTTCAAGAAAGACGCTAGTCGACATTCTACTTGTACCTATTTATGCGTAGCACATACTACACCACAACTCTCCCTTGCTCCCACTGGCTGTCACAGTGTTTTCTTACCTAAGCTTCACCGCGTACGTGCTCCATTAAAACGCTTTCTGTCTGAAAGTGCAAAATGGAATCGGTTTTTTTCGAGTGTTAGCAAGCATATGGAAAGGTTAAATCAATAGTCATGTGAGATATACTGCTTAATTATTATGATCCAAATCAGAAAATAACCGTCGCTACAGATCCATCAGATTATGATACTGGCTCTCTTACATCTCATTGTTTTCCCGAGAATGTGGGGAAAGCTATTTTATTACATGCGACTATTATGTTAAATACACGCGAACGCAAACAACACAGCCAGATTGAAGAAGGTTTGGAACTTATTTTTTGCAGTTAAACAGTTTCACAAAATACTACATGCTTGAAGATTTATTCTTTTATTTTCTCCGAAGGTGACCCGTTTAGTTTAGTGAGCAATAATTTTGATATCATCAAATACAACTCAACTTCTAAATTCAGACAGGGAGATGCATTGTTACGATTGTCGAGCAATCAGAAGTTAAGAAATGAAGGTATCATTGCATCGGTTTTTGTTGTAGACGATGTGGATGGAATCACCGTGAACGCAACTAAACTTTTCCCAATTGGTGCAACTCAAGTCCCGCACATGGAGCGGGACTGCTTACTACAAGAAGCTTTAAAGTTAATTTGAAGCGACTACATACTCCGTGCATACAATCATGTGACCTAAAACAGTTTCATCAGCGACGAAAGTCTATGTACATTGTCAACGAATGTACAGTCTCCTCATCGTGTTGTGGCTCCAGCTAATTTTCAGAGTTATGTACCCCGTCAACTGCATTCATTACATCCTTGCATTAGAAGCAAGAAAGTGACTGTTGACAGTTATGTACACTGGCTCAACATCGATGAATGTATCAAAAACATCATTCGTAGGTGCAGCAAATATGACAAAGCAACAAAATATCGACGGAAGGCAAAAGCTTATTTCTGACCATACTGTCGTGTTCATGTTGATTTCCCTGTACTGCTTAGTGATATGTATTTCTTACTTTGTGTTGATTCATTTTCCAAACAGTCAGACATTTCTAGTATTTATTCTGTAACAACGCAAGCAACAGTGCCTCAGCTACATCACATTTTCTACAGTTTCACTAGTCCTAATGTCTTCATATCCGACAGTGGGTTGTATTTTACATCGTCAGTAATCTCAACAGAGAGGAGACGATAAAAGTCTTGGGCATAAAATTTTGCTGATTTGTCGTACGACACGTTACCCTTCTTCACCGAATTAACTATCTCCAGCAGAAATTATATTTGATCGAAATATCGAACTTGATGTAACTAAGCCCAGGCGAATAAAGCAGGGTTGTAGGAATATGAAGATAGAAAATCAGTTTAATCGCCACCATGATGCTAAATACCACGGTTTTAACTAAGACCAGAAGGTTTATGTGGGTAATTTTAGTTATTCGCCTCCAAGACAGAAGCTTGAACAGAAAGTTCGGGCAGAAAGGAAGTGCTCTAGACAGGATAAATACAAGGGGACAGTATTCGACTAGATACACGAACCATATATAAGATTCAGTGGAGGAGCCAGATAACAAGCAAGACTTCACGATAGAAGTATTTATGGATGTTTTTAATACTCCGTAGCTGGAGATAAAAGATGCAGGTTACACGCTATCTACTACCATTTGGAGGCCAGTTCAACTAAGGAGACCAGGTCCTTTTGGAAAAGATTTCAGGGAAACATCATACAATTTTAAGTGGAGAGGAAGCGGCACTGGCCGCAGAGGTAGGTGATTTCATGTTTTAATTCTAGATTTCTGTTTTAACGTGGAGATGATAATTTTATTGGACAACTTTTGACCTTATATACAGTCAATCAATTTAGTTTATTTAACCACTGCTCTGGAGTAATTTTAAGATTTGGGTATATATGTATTTGTCATTTTTACAGTCATAGGACAGCCTTTGGCTTCTGGTAATTTCATGACCTTGTTAAAGGTGATGGAATTTGAAGGAGAACAGTAGTATTCGGTATTCAGTCAAGTTGCCTATTGCTTTTCAACACCCTTAAACCCATGGATTCATCCACTCAGTCACTATAACTGAACAGTTGTTTGTTTCTGCATTGATACTTCAGTAGTACAAGTTTACGAGCCCATCAAGCATCAAAATCAGGCTATTCACATCTCCAGGAGGAGTTACCTGATTCCAACCCAATGACTGTATAGGGTGATGTGGTCGTCTTATTTGAATTTCACTGCGTCATTTACTAGGACACGTTGCAAAAACAATAAAAAGAATAACAGTTGCCTCAGATATCACAGAACAAGAAACTTTCAATGATGAATATATATAAGGTAAAAGTACAATATAGACTGAAACGTTATACTCACTTTTCCTCTAGGCTAGCTAACATTAATGCAGTCTCGTGTAATGCGCCCAATTCCAGCATATGCTTCACACAATACGCTTTTAATGTTGGATTTGTGGTACGCTGTGACAGGATATTCATTACTTGATTATCACCTGGATTATGGTTAATAGCGCAGACAATAGGATAACTAAACTTTCCCTCGGTCAAATCTTCTGCATAAGTTTTCGCATTATGATACTAAACACAAATAAAAGTGTACAGGGGAAAATCAGAAGAGGAACAGAAAAGCTCTGATGAAAACAACTAGCTGACTGACAAAATAATTGTGTCAAATACAACTTCAAAAACTTAAAACCTACTACACTTTAATGTTTGACTTTATTCGTACTTTGTTCAACTGTTAGTGTACACATTGGTGGTTGAGGTGTTGAATTCTCGCCAGCCACGCACATGGTCTAGGTTCGATTCCGGACTGACACACTCCTAAACCTCGCCAAGATAAGCAGGAAGGTTTGAGGTGAGGCGGGTTTCCCGTAAAAGCAACACAACTACTGAAACCTCAAAGCTTGAAGCACTATGCTTCAACTCTGAACATGCAAATAAATGAATACTCAACTGTAAGGAATAATTAGTACAATTTTCTCGAATCTACGCTGATCTACGTGTTTTGTTTTCTGGGAAGTATCGAATGCAGTAAAATCTGAATCCCTAATAAATAATAACCTTATTTGATTAATTTCATGTCCCTGGAGTATTAAAAAACAGAATGCAACTTACAGATAGGTCAACCAAATTTGCATAATCATCACGAATCTGATAGAAAAGACCAAGTGAATCCAAAAGTGGTTTATAATTCCTACATTGAAAGATAAATAAGCAGGTGATCAGATTTTAAAGATAACGTTTAACTTATATATAATGAAGGTGTGCTGAATAGGGGGAGCACACCAGTTTCGAAAATTAGCGCATAAAGGTGAAGTGAAGTCTTTCATAATCAAAGTCAGGTTTATATGAGTTCACGGAAACCTCTGGAAACCTGTCTATTTAGTCATTCTCAGTAGTTGGTTAGTGAAACTGACTACCTAACAGTCCTGATGTGCAAAACTACCAAATATTTATTCAACGGTCTCAAAGCCAACAACTATTGAAGCTTTAAAGCTATTTTTAATGATTTAACTTCAACGCACTTATGAACCAGGGTTTTGATACATATAATATTATGACTAGCAACTTTTGCAGGCGTCTGGAGCATGAGATGAAGAACTTACCTATACAAATAAGCTCAACCACTTACCTATTATCCAAACGATTTCTGTCTAAAAGTGAACTGCTCCGTGACTTATTAATCCTAGTTTACTTTAGCATGGGTCTAGGAAGAACGACAAGTATTGAGGCTTCCTAAAAGCACGCTAATGTCACTTTAAAGATCCATCTGAAAATAAAAGTGTCAACTTATTCTTTGAAGTGACTCAGCTTGCTTGGGATGGTAAAGCAGGAGTGTTTCATCCCTTTGAAAAGTTTGTGTATTTAGCTATCTGAATGTGGAAGCCCGAGATCAAGATCAAGCAATCGAGGATTAGATTTACAATGTTTATTTGTAAACAGTCTTCTTTGCTAGTAATGACCAATGGGCTTTACTAATCGAAAACAGTTGTTTCTAAATAATTATCTGTATCTTGTAACGACGTGACAGTACCTGTTTAAGAATAAATGGTGGGGACGTCCAGTGACTAGATGTTGTTACTACTTAGGGGTGTCGGAAATTTGAATATTTTAGGCATCCGACCAAACCACGGGTTCGAAACCCGCTCCACCTACCGCTTTTTGAGCAACTAGGGAGTATCATCAGCCCTTAACATAACAGGTGTGTTTCAGTGCAAACGCTCACTGAATAATACTTTCTCTTTACTAGACGTGAGTTGATAACGCTGAAGTTTTTTGCCTCATTAAGGATTAAGAAAATAATAACTAATTGATGCAAACTAACTTCCTTCAATGCTTATATGAGAGTGATTATTTTGATCATCCTGTTACTACGAAACTCGCTTCTGCATTATTGCCTGAATATTACTTTTACTGTTGTTGTTATTACTATACTACTGTGTGGAACATTTCTTGCCAAGCTATTTATGCATTAGTCGGTTAACGTTGATCAAAAATGACTAGTATAGAGGGCGCAGAGATAAATGGACAAGTATAACTTTAAACTTGCATCGCGATGGCTCAGTGGTAGAATACTCACTCATCGTCAGCCACGCTGGAGGTCTGGGTTCGATTCCCGACCGATGCACTCTCGGAACTCGGCAGTTTAGTTGATTATCCAACAGAAAAACGCTGAAGAAAACAGGAGAGTTGGACAACAGGCTAGCAATCCTACTCTAGAAAAACAACACCGATAAATAAACTGAAGAAAATAGAGAACTTGAAGCCCTATGTTCTGGTCGGAAAGAAGGTAATGAGAAAAAAATAAATTTGAAACACACAAATACCGAAATTATGAATAACTATAATAATAATACTTGACTTTAAAAACTAACTCTCTCCCTTCTTGAAACAAAGCCAAATACGTACTTTTTTTTAAAAAAAACAACCTCAAATTTCAATAAACTTACGTTTGAACATCAGAAAACAGCTGCATTAAACGAACACCTAAACCGAATAAACCACCGGTTTCTGTAAACCAAGATTTTGAAATAAAAAGCACGGGAGTTACATAACTACTTGAAGAAATATATATATATATGTCAAGACAAACCGTCTCAGTTCATATCGTGTCTTTATATACTAACTGATTGATCAAGTCAACTTTGTTGGATGACTGATCTATCAGAAGTAGAGATCGACAATAGAAATGTACAGTTCTGAAACTGCACAGTCTACTAGTAACCAAATGAAGTGGAAACTCAAAAGAGTTATGAGTACACACTAGACGAATAAAATCACGTTTTCTAAAGTGATTTTATTTACTAGCAGAAAGATACAAAAGGATTGACTGACTGACTGACAAAGAAAGCTACAAATGGCTTTATAGAAGTTGAAGCAATACATTATTTTGAACAGTGACAGCCTCCAGGTAATTGACTGTTAACACATACAAAGATTTAGAGTTTTTTTTATTTTTTAGCAGACCTGTCTGTCTGTCTGTTTTCGACATAGAACTTTGCACAAATGTGCGGAAGTTCAAGTCGCCACATTCCGTGTAGCACGCGAAGCAAGAGAAGAAAGTACAAGAAAAGCATAATAGAAACAGTGAGCAGAGGTGTGAGACAAAGGAGTAATAAATAAATACAAAACAGTTTCATTGAAGATCATAAGTCACAGGGAGTGGATGCATCTGCGCCACTGAGAACGATTTTGAGCCATGTCACCAATTGTTTCCAACCATAGATTTTTGCCGTCCCGAGGACCCCAGCCTGGAAGTCTACACCTTCCTACGTGGCTTAGACCAACTGTTGTGGATTTCATTGACTGGTGCCAAGTTTTTGTTTGACCGCCGCTAGCTTTTTTCCAGCCTGACCCTATATCCGCTAACATAGCTCGTCGAGGGAGGCGATGACTTGGCATACGTAACACATGTCCTAACCATCTCAGTCGATGTAGCTTCACGACTTCGTCGATTGATTTCCCCTCCTTACCTAGAACTCTACGCCTAACCTCCATGTTGCTCACCTTATTATGCCACTTTACACGGGAAATAGAACGCAGGCACCTATGATCAAAGGTAGCTAGTCCTATGTGGTTTAAATGAGAAGTGTAACAAAACACTACTGATGGGCGGATAAGTAAAGTTAACTGAATTGTCTCGTAAAATTATGATAACTACTGCTAGTAGCTCTGAAGGAAATAATGGATCACACAAACACGTATGTCAGTTAGACGAGATAGATGTCTTTTTGTAACTTCACGTCAAAGCTGTCCATTTATTTAACAGTTCTATTTATTTCATTTCCTTGAATTGTTGCATAACACACTCTTCAACCCTTCTATTTTTGTAATCCATCTTCTCACTTCCTCATCTCCCCACCTTCTATCAACTATGACTCAATGACAAATCAGCACTAAACTAATCGGCTGCGAATCCTCTCAACTGCGTCGGCTTATGCAATATTATTCACAAGCGATGTTACTTCTCATACACTGACTAATTATGTTACTAACAATCACCAGTGGACTTCTATTGTCAACTAACATTGTGTGTATAAACTCACTAGATAACTGTACAGCTTTGAAGTGAAGTTGCGCAAAAGAGATTCCTCAGTCACCGATTTATGTGTGTTCTTAATTACATCATATAGGAATTTTTTATGCCTTGAAGATTTTCTTTTACACTGAAGTTGATATTAGGATTTCATTACCTCTCAGAATCAGGGTTGAAAATTGAGTAGATAAGACAAATCACATATGGTTCTTTTTTTATAGAAATGCCTACATTTCCACACAGTCGATACAAACATACATTTTACCAACTGATGATTTTCTTCCAATGCTAAGAAGTGTCTGTCTAATCTCGTATTGATCCCCCCCCAGTACCTTCTGTTTGTCTTAACAACAAATCAGCTAGATAAGAGTCAACAAGCTCACCTTGGGACCTGACCTCTGGTAGTATAGTCATAGGTGCATACAGCGCAAGAGCCCCCAAAACAACGAAAGGAACAACTGGTGGCTAGTGCTCCTTGGTTTCCAACGGTTCTCCAACTGAAGTCATTTCGCGGCTAATCTTGAAGGAGTAAAACCGCTGATTACAAATTTGAAACAGTGGAAATAGCAAGGAATTTTACCTACCGATTAAATTTACGATTTATGTAGTAAGTATGTTATACTATTATGTTTAAATTAGTAAAAAGAAAGGAGTTTGAAGAGTTTCGCGTGTAAATAAAGTAAATGAAAACCAATAAGAATAAACGAGAGACCAAACAGCATTGTAACGGCGAGTCACCTAACATACAGGCCAAATTTCAAAAGTTGACTAGTGGAATTCAGTCTGCACCAACACCAAAAACTAAATACATGACACTGATTACCACCTAATATCCAATCAAAGACCATATCTTACATATCTACATAAATTTCATGAGTATAACTTACTACAGACAACCATAGCTTCGTATTCTGATTCTGAAGGACATCGAAACGAAGAACGCCAATATATGTCCATACCTTGTCCTCGATGTAATTCAAGCATTTGTTCTAAAAGCAAATTGTTGAATATTTCCATTTTTCAAAAGACAGGCTTTGTTGAAAATAAAGTATAATTACTAGTAAAAATGATAAAACAATAAGATTATTTAGCGTTCCTTGCAATGGGACTTGGTGATTCTATTACCGGGAACTTTATGAAAAGACGATAAATATTGGGCTACATTAAGTAAAATAGTAGATAGTGTGTGGGAATACTAGTTTCAATATGCTAATGAAAATCCTCGATTATCACAATGCATGAATAATAAAAGTCTTTCTTTCACAATCACAGGATAATCTACATGACTAACATAGTGTATAAGATTCTATGGCTCTAGAAAAAACACCAGAAAAAGGCAGGCATGTAGGCTTTAAGCCTCAAAGATTGAGATTGACCACACCTCCACCTTTCAGCAAGTTCTGGAAAATAGGTAAACTCGTCTGTACCCGAAACTTGCCATATTTCTTTACGCAGTCAGTATCATACTGTATTCTTCAAGAAGTGCTACGGTAACTTTTGACTGTGAACATCGAAAAAAGGGTTCTACTTGAAACTATGGGTTGTTTAAGAGCTTACAAGAAGAATTTTTATCCGAAGTGACACCAACCAATGATGTTCATCAGGGATACCCAACCTTATTCAGTTTTCCTATAGATGTATTAAAAGATATGACTTTAGTCAACTTCGATGTTTCAGTGACGGCTAGTTATCAGAAGTTTTGTCGATCAAAAGTATGCAAGCAATATTATTCTCTGAACACCTTAAGCTTAAACCTAAGTGTTTGGCATGCAGCCAACATGTCATATTTCAAATGTTGTCGCAAGTTCCACCTGAATCGACTCCAAGTTTAAGGATAGGGAGTGAAAATGTTGAGTGTGTTGATCATCTCGTTTACTTAGCAACTTGCATTAAACCTGATGAAATCGCGGTACTGACACAAAAGGCTTGCTTAAAATATGCCAGACTGCATCATCTTTGACCATGTATTAGTGCAACTTCCTAAATAAGCGAATCGGCATACACTATCACTTCACTCTCTGTGCTTAAAATAATAGCAATTTATATTCCGACGTGTTTTGGAAGAGTAACGGTAGTTTAACCGGTAAAATCGTCAAAGAAAAACCGACAAGCCAAAAAAGATTGAAGGGAAATATAAAAAGAAGAACAAGGTACGCCTAATAGAGAATGTTGTCATTATTTGCGAACAGTTGACTGAATGTAGGTTCTCGTATTCTAAAAATGTTCGTTGTAGTTTATTCGAACAGACATTGTATACATTCTCACCAGTCCTATTTTCTACATTACAAATGAATCGCTTGTATGACCAGATGGTGCACACAAACTAATTACAACTAACAAGCAGGTAGCATTGTTAACAGTTAGTCAGTAACATTGCTTAGGCACATTAATAAAGCGTAAAGAATTTCTTTTAATGTAATAAAATAATAGAAAGTACCTGTAAAGATTTTAACTGACTCAGCACGATTCAGTACAGACAGTTTTTCCAAGGCAAGGAAATACACAAAGTTTGCAGAATTGATAGAAGGTGCAATTCCAAAAACACAATGAGCAGCAGGTTTTCCGCGTCGTAAATATGAACCATCTTCAATATCGTCAATGCTGAAAAACAAATTTTAAAAAGTTAAAAATGGGAAGAAGAACGACACGACCATGTATATTCTGCGATAAATCAGGCATGATGAGTACTAGTTGCGAAAAGTACTAACCACTTACTCAAGTACATAGATCTGTAGATGCTTCTATTGCAAATAAACACCAGCTAAATGATACAAAGGACTAAGAGTTATCGACTACTTTACCTTATGTTATGACTGCTCAGGACTGTACACAACCCACTTAAACCTAGCAAACCTCTCTTCAGCTTTGTTCTGAAAAGTCACTTCAAAAATTTCAAAAAAAGTGTTACTCAACAACCTCTTGTATTTGCATGCAGTTACCAATGTCTATTGTATGCAGGGTAATGATGCTACTTATCTGCTACATTTCGATAAGTGAAGAGGAGTTGAAACCCATGACTGAAATTCAAGTATCTAGGCGGACAAACAAATAGCCGAAGGCAGCCTACAACTTACAAATAACTACTAAACAACGAATACTGCACGTAACTTCATTTTATATGTGCCTTCGATATTTTAGAAGTGATAATTTCTCTACAGAAATTTAACCTATAGAAAGGTGGGAACTACTTAGTCGAAACTCTCAGAACTTTTTACCAATATAACCTATGTATGACAACTAGGCTGGATCCCAAGAAGCTTTGTTTGATAGTGGCGGGAATTTACTTTAATAGCATCACTTATTTCTAATCAATTACCTCAACCTAATTCTGGGTAGCGAAGTTCAACAAAGGTTGGAATAAGCCCAAAAACTAAGCATAAAATTGTAACAGGAGCAAGGTGGAGATGATACAATACAAAGTGAAACACTACTACTAAATATTCTTGACTGAAAGTGGACATCTGTGAAGGTAGACGACACAAGACTTGGTAAAGGAATGTTCATTTGGAAACTGGTATCTATGTATACCGAAATTATACACACATCTTCAAATCACCACTTGCACAGATCTTCCGTGTTGTGCTAATACTGTCCTTCATATCGCGTTTCTTAGTGTTCCTTTCACGCCTCCCATGCTTTGTTGCAGCGCTGAAAATTAATACACTTAATAGAATTATGCGACTATTCTATCAGTTCGCCAATCCAATTTTTAGAGAAAATCAAAAACACTGAAGTAGATTACAATGAAGTAATGGTGTTATTTGATGTCACAGCTTAATATAGTTAAACTGGTCCAGAACTAGCAGACGAAACTATGCAACAACTACTCTATAACGATGAGAACACAAAAAGCTAATGTTCAACTTGGACAGAACTCATAGAATTGTGTTGCAACATACTTCCAATTCAATACTCAAATATACGAACAGATGAAAGGAGCACCGATGGAATCGCCCATATCAAGATTAATAGCTAAAGCCGTTATGCAAAGATAAGAATTAAACCATACATGTGCGTACGTTATGTTGATGATGCATTTGTAATAATTAAAAGAAATCATTTAGAATACACCCGCAAATTAAGAAACAACATATTTGAAGACATCAAATTTACAAGAGAAGAAGATTTAGACAACAAAATTCCATTTCTGGATGTCTTAACCAATAGAATTAACACAGAAAATTTATAAACACAAGTGTATAGAAAATCGACGCATACAGATCAAATACTCAACTGTAGTAGCAATAACCCAAATACCCACAAAAGAAACCGTGTGCAGAGATTGTTTAAAAGATTTCAAACACACTGCAGCACTCCTATGTTGAAGAAAAATACCTACTGACTGTCTTAATCAGTGTTGGAGCTTGAGTCATAACACCAACAAGAAACCATCATCACAGACTACAAGGAAATTCATTATACAAAAATTTTATAGAAAATTTCTGGAATAACAGCTAGAATATTTAGACCCCTTTAAATATATATAGCACAAACCAGCACCATCGCTTCATACGATACTGTGCAGACCGAAAGATCTAACAGGATAATAAGATTAAAGTAATACCACTTACAAAGTAAATTGTGTGAACTGCAATAAACATTACATCGGTCAGTCTGTTTCGAAAACGAATCTAAGAACACAGACTGGCCGCAAAAGACAGAAAATTCAAAATGATCCATATGAACACAAATCCCTACTAATTCAGACTGTTTATAAGTCATAACAGTTCACGTAACATTTAAAATTTTACACTTTAAAGATATCGAGGTTTTCCTTCTGCTAACACCACAAACATGTAGAAAAAAAGCCGGTATAGTTTGGTGGTTGTTACTTATTCAAGTGCGTCGGTGGCACAGTGGTTAGGACTCTCGCCGACCATGCACATGGTCCGGGGTTCGAGCCCACGCCGGCGCACACCTGATATCTATGGTCGGCCTGCAAAATTTGGGCTACCGGTATCCATGCTGAAAATTCCATACTTGTACCAAAAATACAGTGTGGAATCAAGCTGTAAATCTAAAAAATCTGAAAAAAAATAACCGGAATATCCAACACGTGCCAAGCTATACACGTAGATTACCTGCCTGTGATAGAAATATTTGCGGAATTCAGTTGAAGACTATAAGCGAAAATATTTCAAACAAACCGCCTGCGTTTTGTGAGAAGTCATGAAAAATAAGATAGCAGCTTAAGTTTATTAAGTGTATCCAGAAGATGAGTTCGAACCGACATACAGTAATAGAAACTGCAAATTATAATAACTCACATCAAGCTAGCGTTGTGCAACATTTGTATGACGTCTGATATGAGCTTCAAAGTATCCTCAGGGACCTTTAGCCAGTAGTTGAACGCTGACATCAATGCAGAACGTAAGCCTTTTCCATTTGTATTGCACGTGTAGCAGTAGGGCTCCATAACGACCTATCTGTTTTAAAAACATATGGACTAACTTACTTTCTCAGCTAGTTTACTGAAGTTAGTTTCATCGCCCTTTTTTCCTGACATGGCAAACAAATGACCGATAAGCTTGATGTCAATTAAGTAAGTAACCTTGACAATGTCAAAACGAGCGGAATTTGTATCCAACATCCAATATCTTTTTTTTAAAAACTGGTGCAAACCAATTTAATTTCCCTGTGCTCGCATCTTGATTTTGAGGTAATAGCTCCTGATTTGCGTAGTTCGTCCCGCTAATAGACAGTCGTTGCTTTGGTTGGAGAGAAGCCTGCATACGGCCGTAGGTCATTTGGTGATTGCTTCAATAACAGACAGCTAATTGAATTTGAAGTTGATAAATGCATATAAATATAAATATATGTTTATAATATCAGTAATAACAAGTGTAAGTGTAGTAGTTGGAGTTGTCAGGAGAGTAAGAGGGAGGAGAATGTAAAGAAGTGAAACGACGAACTTATTTGTCTACCCATGAATGGTGCACAGGATTTTAAGTGGATAGGCCATTTGTACTCAGACCCAGTGTCGCTGCACGATTGTCCAGCCCATGCTTAAAGGCGCCCACAGAGGGTCAGGAGTTCCAGGGACGGCTAATCCGCAGTGAATAGAAGTTGGAGCGTGCTCGTGTCCTTGCCCTCTGGTGAGCTATCATTCTGGGATTTCCAAGGGGAAGCCTATTCATACTCGACGGCAGAACACCTTTGTTTGGGTGACCCTGGTCATTTTTTATAGTGTAGGCAGCAATCATATCTCACCTAGGCCGACGGTAGATAAGTACGAATAGGCCTAATTTCTTTAGCCATTCATCATATGGTTCATTTCGGAGACCAACCACTCTCGTTGCCCGTCTTTGGACTCTTTCGAAGAGGTTGGCGTCTCTTCTAAGCAGTCGGGGTGAAATAATACCATGCACTTCAAGGTGTGGTCTGACGCATGCTTTGTACAATCTTAGAAACAGCTCGGGAGTGAGTTCACCTAACTGTCTATGTGTAAAGTGTATGACAGAATATGCGCTCGCCACATCCCCCACGTAATTTACGCTTGTGTCCATTTTTCCCGTTAAAACTAGACCTAAGTTATACTCCGAAGCTGTGAAGGTCAAGCTTTCGCTGCACAGGATGTAACTTGCATTCTGAAGTCTACAGGTGTGTAATTTCACTACTTCGGACTTTTTCAGTTTGAAAGTCATACCACTGGCCACTGCCCAGTCTTCCAGAAGCTTTGGATCTGCCTGCAGCCTATCTAAGTCTTCCAAACACGTCGCCAGCGAATAGATCTGGGTTTCTGATGTATTCATTCGGAATTGAAATTAGAGTATATATGAACCCTTTCCATTGGTTAACAGAACATGTCTCTTTTTCTGACTAAATGTACAGACCGCTCTCTTTTCTAGAGTTTGTCCTCATTCCTCTTCTAATTAACGTGATTAGAAGTACACCATGATGATTTTATTCGTTCTTGACTAAGGTTCATTTTTTACTATTCAGGTGTGTATATCTTCCACACAACATGTCAGTATCTTTGGGGTATTGGTGTACGGAAACATCGGATATCTTGTTGCCATCCGCAACTTGGTGTCATTCAGGCAAATAACACTTGGAATGTCACATAACATTGGGGCAAATGGCTGAGTATCGTAGTCCAATAGGACAGTTTTGACATTATGTTTATTCTATCTAACATGAAAATGTAATTTTTATCCAAATGAGGAGGCTGTCAGCAATTCCGAAAGCTATCAGTTTAGCTGGCGAGTTGCACACATAGGTTTATCAAACGCTTTTCCAAAATAAATGGAAATCAATCGATGGTTGTCCTTATTATCACCGTAAACGACCCTGATTGGCTAACTTCGAGGTCTCTCACTCGGCAGAGACTCCCAAAGATGACACGCAGTGGGAATAAAGTCGAACAACCAGCTTTTAGACAAGCCGTATAACGTTACTAAATTATTCTCTAGGCACTTGATGTCATGACATGAAGGGTTTAGCCTACGTCCATCAGGTCCTCGACATAGATGCCCGTGGTTACTCTGCATATAATCATTTGGTTCTGTTTTTCCTTATCCACGAATAAATGCGAATATTTCGCCATCTAAAACCGAAATTTCGATAAGAAATAAACTTGTCAGATTTAGATAAAAATACCACCTCTGAAGTAAGTCTACAGATACCATTCGCATCTGGTATATGAACTCGCTCCATTAATGCAGACTACATTTGCAAGGCGGATGACAAAAATGCCTACGATGTCCGTATTTACAACACGTTAAAGGGCTCCAGTTATTCTTCATGAGTGACTCATAAGACATTAATAGATAAAGAGTTCAACCGTGTTACAAAATGGTGCCCATTTACTCGGATATAGTACCCGGAAATCATGACCTGCAATCGTTTGCCACCTCACACTTCGTTGGTATGGTGCACAATTTGTAACTGAGGCTATTGGTCACTGTTGCCCAACATGGGCAAACTCTGGTTACATACTATCCGTAGAGTCGTTCCATTCATTTGGAAATTCTATTTCGCAATTGCGGGTCTTAAGAAAAGGCGTAGATTTCCTCACTGGTATCACAAACAAACCCTCCAAATAACTAAACGGGGCGGGGTACAATAACAGAAGTGGCATATTTCTTTCTGATTCTATCATCACCTATAACTTTGTATTTTAAAGTGGGTTTCATCGAAAGCGTTAAATTCCCAGGAATCAACAAAATTACTGCTCCTATTCAATCAATAATAATACACCCTCATTTTTAAAAAATTATTCTAATAAACACATTAAAATCAGACATAAGGCGAAACTTTCCACGAGCAACAATAATATTAATGTATTCTCATTTTTTGTACATGAGGGACGCCAGTTTACAGGCATCACCAATATGATAAATTACATTTATGATCAGTAAGCATATTTAATAATAATATAATAAAACGCATGTATTCCTACCTATGTAGGACACATTAGTTCTACAGGCATGGGTAAGTATTATTTAAATTGCATAAATTTGGCTTATGGTGCGTCGGTGGCTCGCCGAACATGCACATGGTCCAGGGTTCGATCCCTTGCCGACGCACACCTGATATCTATGGTCGGCCTGCGAAATTTAGGCTTCCGATATCCATGCTGAAAATTCCATACTTGTACCAAAAATACTCTGTGGAATCAAGCTGTAATCAAAAATAAATAAAATAAATAAATTCTATGTTTTATGTCCTTTCGTCTTCAGATTTTGGGGACAATGTGATAACTAGTCATTCAATGAATCACATCAAGAAATACAGAAATATTGTCTTCACATTCACAAAACAAACCCAATTGTGTTTTGGATGGACTAGAAATACTTGAGAAAAACTAAAGCTTGAAGTCATTCCCACATATAAATCTGGTGTGTACGGCATCAAATCTTATTCTCTATTTATATCCAAATCAAATACTAATTTAAAATAAGAGATATACTTGTATATACTTGTCAGCATTATCGTCGTAAATAAAATCAGAAGTGAAGTGTACTGAATGCGGACCAATGGTAATTTAAATTTTATTACAAACGGGTGCTTACAAAAATGCAAGCCATGTATATAGGCAAGATCAGTTATGTTATCATTCACAATTTAATTTTATCAAAACACAAATCCTTTTAAACAGTGTTTGTCAAAGTAGTTGAAGATTGAAAGATCAATTCATGGTTGCTTGCTCAAACCCAAATCCAAATTTTTCTCGGGAGTCATCAATAAGGCAGTCATCGTCTCGGGTGAGGCTTAAAGTCGCTACAATATGTGTTTGCGCAGTGTATGGGTTATCGCGTTCACACCTATCGAGGCGTCATAACCGCTCAGTTTTGTGAAAATAGATTACATTTCAGCAGTTTTACGCTTCTGTAGCCTAAAAAAGCAGTATTGTATTCGCAGTAATGCTGTAAGCCTCGTCTCGTAAACCGTTAATGCCCAGCTCTTGATGCACTGGGACTCATGCTGTTCCTCGAATTTTCCCAAAAACGCATAGTACGAACGGACGCAAAAACCAGAACCCAGTTTGGCGACTCGAGAATTATTTTTTCTAACACCAACATATAGCCAATATTACAACTAAGGTCTATGAACAAATAATACAATAATTAATCACAATATTACTTCTGACGGTTTTCTCCTGACTTCTTTCTGAACAGCGACCGATGAGACGATGACTGTCGTATTGATGCCTCCGCGAAAATTGGGGAAGTTGATTTTGAGCAAACAACCAAGAATTGATCGTTCAATCTTCAACTGCACTGACACTCCCCGGCCAAAAATGATCCATCCCTTTCTTCCATCACGACCAATACACGTTGACTTGGATGCCATTGCAAGAACCTGGGTCACACGGACAGAGCTGAAATGGAAAACAAACAGAAAAGCCAACACACCACAAGCATACTCACAGCACAATCTCACACATCACTGACGACCTACACCTTCCAGTTAAAGGCACCCCCTTGACATCTTGTAACACAATCGCCACCTGCTAGAATGACTGTCGGAGAACGCAACGCGATCATAGCACCACACCATGATACTCTACGCACATCCTCTTATCTACTCACTACCAATTACCACTGAAATCGCTTGTCACTCATTCTGCATCAGGTCTAGTAACGGTGACGTATACGAGCCTCAGTCGTCCACACTCTCAATCCACGGGGTGTGGGACAACAGCTAATCATCATCTCCGTGTGCATGTCATTCTCAGCACTAGTCTAGCTCCCCGGCGTATACGACCCATCTGCTGTCTCTAACATCAATCAATTCATTCACGGATGTAGAAGACTGGAAACAACTTCAGAAGTAAGCACGACGAAAAGTTTAACAAAATTATGAAAACAACGTGTAAAGAGAATGAATCCGAAAAACACCAATTGATATGACACACCACACATATATGCAAGCAGTACACACAAACTCGCAGATCGTGTCTCGTTGGAATTCCTTTGAAGAATCGCAGGACTTACACCAGTACGCCTACAACCCTTCTCACGTTGACGATTGTAAGTTGTGGAATGTCCGGACACAGACAAGATTAACCAACAATTGCGATAATTGGAACTCACACAACTATTTAACACAAACATATGTACAATCAGTACATCAAATA